AAGCATCCAATAGACTGTCCAACCTATGAGGGAAGGCCAGGGAGGCTGGGTGGGTGGGTGGGAAGAGATCAACCAAAGAACTTGTATGCATATATGCATAACCCATGGACACGGACAATAGGGTGGTGAGGGTCTGGAGTGGGGGCAGGGCAGGCTAGAAGAGGTCAATGGGGGGGAAAGGGGGACAGATATAATAGTTTCAATAATAAAAATTTTTTAAATAAAGAAGTGGGTCTCTTAAATGTCCCAGAAGAGCAGCATTAGCAACACCTGGGACCTTGTTAGACATGCATATTCTTGGGCTCCCCCACCCCAGCTACTGAATCAAACTCTGGGGTGGGGCCCAGCAATATAGGTGTTGTTTTTATTTGTTTTATATATTTTTTATTGATTTTTTACAGAGAGGAAGGGAGTGGGATAGAGAGCTAGAAACATCGATGAGAGAAACATCAACCAGCTGCCTCCTGCACACCCCCCACTGGGGACGTGCCCGAAACCAAGGCACGTGCCCCTGACTGGAATCGAACTCGGGACCCCTCAGTCCGCAGGCCAACGCTCCATCCACTCAGCCAAACCAGTCAGGATGTTGTTGCTGTTTTTAATACATTTTTATTGATTTCAGAAAGGAAGGGAGAGAGAGAGAAACATCAATGATGAGAGATAATCATTGATCAGCTGCCTCCTGCATGCCCCCACCGGGAATCGAAGATTGACACTCAACCACTGAGCCACACCAGCCAGGCTGCAATCTAGATTTAATGAGCTCTCCACGATCCTGATTCACACCAACGTTTGAGAGCCACTCAACTAGATTACCAGTGGTTTAGATGTGTTCCTTTCCTCCTTGTTTTCCGGTTCTCCCAGAGGTAATAATCACTGTCGAATTTGGTACTTTTGCATTCATGTTATCACATATATGGTATGTCTAAGCAACAGACTGTTTCATTTTGCTTGTATTTAAACATTTTTAAAAGGATATCATACTGCATGTAGTCTTCAACTTGCCTTTTTCACTCAACCTTTTGTTACTAAGATTCACCCGTGCTTTTGCTTGTAACTCAATTCATTTTGACTGCCTTATAATAATTTACGAACGGGGGCATATTGTACGTTGGATCTGCTTTCTGTGGTGATATGCATAGTGGGCCAATCAAATTCTCCAAAGAGCTACGATAAGCACAGCAAACATCCTTTGGGTATTTAGCTGAAGTGCCCTATTTGGTCCAGCCATTTAGAAAGGGCCAGTGAAGGATAGGTAGAAGTTCGAACTGGAGGGTACGTCCACCCTCCAGAACTAGGAAACAAATCAGGTTCTCCAACAGTTCTTCCCCCATCCCCTTCCTTTTCCGTGGAATCTGTCTTCAGCGTACAAACATGCTGTTTTCCCCTATCTTGAAAAGAATTCTCAACCCCCACTGCTGCTCCATTTCTTTCCTTCGCTTTATAGCAGAACTCCGTGACACACATGGTTCAAGTTTTTCCTCTTAGGAACACGAGTGCAACTTTCTCATATCTGTTTCCCGGTACTTATATGCTCACGTTTATCTTGGATATATACTTAGGGGTGATATCGCTGGATCACAGAGATGTGGGTGTTCAATTCGGAAAGATAATGCCAAGTTGTTTTCCAACATGGTTGAACAAATCTACATCCCCATCAGCAGCATACCCTTAAATATCTAATGCTTAGATATTATCTACTTCTTAATTTTTTGCCCAAAAAGTATAAAATGCTCTCTTGCTAATGTTCATAGAAGCATTATTCACAATAGCCAAAAGGTGCAAACAACCCAAACGTCTTCCATCTGATGGAAAGATCATCAAGTGTAGGATAGCCATACCATGGAGTATCACTCAGCCATAAAAAGGAATGGATGCGGATGCATACCACCACATCGCCAACCCTTTAAAACATTACGCTAAACGAAGGAAAGCAGACACAGGAGACCACATACCGTAGATTCCATTTGTATGAAATATCCAGAATGGACAAGTGCAGAGAGACAGAAAGGAGACTAGTTTTTGCCATGACGTGGGAGAACGCTGGGGTGGAGAGCGGATGCTTAAAGATACGGGCTTTCCTCTTAAGGTGATGAAAAAGTTCTGGGGCTAGATAGTGATGATCATTGTACAATATAGTGAATGTACTTAATGCCTGAATTGTACACTTTGAAGTGGTTAAAATGGTAACTTTTATGTATATTTTATAACAATAAAATGTTATCTCACTGTGGTCTTGATTTGCATTTCCTTAAGTAGAAGTGAAATTGAGCCATCTCGTCATATGTTTATTAACTATACATATTTCTTTGCCTGCGACGTGCCCATACGTATATACTTTCCTATTGGCTTGTCTCTCTCTTTATTTGCAGGAGGCCTTTATGTATTCTTGGTACTGTTCCTTTACAATACCAAGTTGATATTTCACAAATGTCATCTACTGATTAATATCTAGTCTCTGCACATTGAAGAGCCTTCATGACTCATCAGCTCTCAAGCAGACTTCTGCATGCTCTCCTGACTGGCTGGCCTACCTCCATTCCTGCTCCCAGGGTGACCACCTTCTTCTAGTAGCCCACGTGACTCCTAGAAAATGCAGACCAATGTGGCTTGCCTACCTCAAACTCCTCCTTCGATTTTTTTCCATTTGATTATTTGATTCTCCTTTGCTGCCTACAAAACAAAGTCCAAGTTCCCTTTGTGTGGCTTATGACCCATTAGAGCTTAGTTCTGGCCTCCCTTACAGCTTAGTCTTCTTTCAAATTTTATATTTTCATAATTTTTGACTGCTTCATGGTTTTCAAGTGTATGCCATACTCTTTCATGATTCTGCGATATTGCTTATGCTTTACTCTCCTGACGCATGCTTCCCACCTTCTTTTTTATTTGAGAAAAAGAGAAAGAAAGAAGCATTGATCTGTTGTTCCACGCATTTATGCATCCAGCGTTAGCTTCTTGTATGTGCCCTGACTGGAGATGGAACCTGCAATCTTCACAAGTCGGGATGACACGCTAACCACTTGAGCCATCTGGCCAGGGAGCTCCCCACCTTTCCTCATCTATCTTGTGCCCATTCATCCTTCAGGACAGTTCATACATCCTCCTCCAAGCTGAGCTGGAGGCCTCTTCGTGGGTTCTACAGTGTCCCATGCATGCTTTATCTCAGCAGCTACCAAGTCAAAATGGAATGATCTGTTTATAAGTCTACCATCCCCATTAAACCATAAGTCTCTAGGGCAGTGGTTCTCAACCTTCCTAATGCCGCGACCCTTAATACAGTTCCTCATGTTGTGGTGACCCCCAACCATAAAATTATTTTCGCTGCTACTTCATAACTGTAATTTTGCTACTGTTATGAATCGTCATGTAAATATCTGATATGCGGGATGTATTTTCATTGTTACAAATTGAACATAATGAAAGCATAGTGATTAATCACAAAAACAATATGTAATTATATAAGTGTTTTCTGATGGTCTTAGGCGACCCCTGTGAAAGGATTGTTCAACCCCCAAAGGAGTCGCGACCCACAGGTTGAGAACCGCTGCTCTAGGGCATGTTTAGTCATCTTGTATACCCAGCCCACATCCAGTTCAGTGCCTGGAAGATAGCAGGCACTTAATACAGTGAGTACGTAATAATCTTTAGGCACTGCAATAAACACTAGTGAGCTTCAAATGTTTCATTTTTCACCATCCAGGGGCTCACAGCCCATCATACAAAAGAAGACATGAAAAATGACAGGCATGAAAGCACTGTGAATAGTCAAGCAGGTCATACTGGGTCAGAGCCTGCTGTCTTTCCAGCCGGATTTACCCAGAAATGGCTTACCACGAACTATGCTCATCTTTGAGAATGAAGGACTGTGGAATTTTCCTCTGTTAACACCACTTCTGAGAAGTAAACTATTTAAAGACAAGAGGTCATAGTGATCTACAAACTATATCAGCCATCCCCCCTCCTCCCTCCCCCATGAGAGTTTTCGCTGCGCTCTCCAACGTGACTGAAAGGATCTTTTCCGGCTTGTGTTTTCTAGGATCTGAACTGTGATGGGGGTGTATTTTGTACATAATGGGAGTGGTGGCAGAATCACTTCCTTCCTATTACTACTCTCAACCCTACTGCATAATGTAAGCACATTAACAAATTTATTTTGTGCTATTAGGCAGGCATAGTGCTAGGATGTGAGATAAGATTATTTCATTCAACGTTCATAACAAGACTATGAAGTAAGTACTATTATTAACTGCATTTCGTGAGGACGGAAGTCGAAACTTGAAGAGGTCAAGTAACTTGCCCAAGATCGCATCTCGAGGAGGCCTTAGAAGCAGGACTGAACCCAAGCCGTCCGATTCCAGGGCTCTCGGTCTTGGGTGCTTCATACCCCTGACCTGTCGATGGGGAAACGCAGTAAACACTCATTACAATAGGTCCGCCTTAAATTGTGCTTGACTTGAGGTAAATGGTAGTTTGTAAGACTGAATGAATCAAGTTGTCAGTCTTGTTGTGTGGGGGTTTCTTATTACAGATACTGGGGGACCTGCAAGTGTGGTTAGTTACCACCATAGGCCGTCTAATAGTAGAGGATTTTAAATTTTAAGGATGTTGGGAAAACTAATTATCCACATATCTGTCTCCCCTTTGCAATTAAATAGTCTTGTTATGAAAATATTTCAATGTTGTTCTATTTTCTATTTGGCAGTTTTAATTAGTATATAATTTTTCCAGCATAAAAAGAACCTTCATATCGGAAGAAATTCTCAAAAGTGCTAAAGTGTCTGTGTGTGTTTAAAAAAATTTTTTTTAAAAACTTTACTTTTCTGCTTTTAGACGCCAGAAAAGTTTCCTCATAAAGCTGACTTCCGTTCTGGAAATGATTTTTGTTTCCAATCATGTTGAGAATCCCTTTCTTTCATCCCTTCTCTCTCTCTCTCTCCCTCTCTCTCTCTCCTTGGTAGTAGCGGGGAGGAAGGAGGGGGTGGGCACAGGAAAGGGGAAAAGAGAAAAAAAAACAGAATCGCATGCCCTGTGGCTGCAGGGATCCTCGCCTGTAACTGTTTCCACCCGCTCTGCGCCCTGGCCTCTTGTTTCCGTCCGGGACACCTCTTCCCCCTCCAGCCCCGAGCAGACAAAGCCGCGGGCGCAGGGCGCAGGGCGCAGGGCGCGGGGCTGGGACCGACGTGGCATGGAAACCTCCGCGGGGCTGGGCAGCCGCGCGCCCCGGGACCCGGCCCAGCCCCCGCCCGCCGCCCAGTCCTGACGGCCCGGCGGCGGCACAGGGACATGGGTAGGACCGGCCGGCGGCTCCGCTCCCCGGACGCGGACGCTTTCCCCTGAGCATCTCTGCTTTGGCTGGAGAAGCCGGGCCCCGCGGAGTAGCTCCTGGGGGTGGCCATGGGGTGCGGGCTCCGGAAGCTGGGCGACCCCGAGGACAGCAGCCCTGGGAAGATCTTCTCCACCCTGAAGAGACCGCAAGTGGAAACAAAGACAGAAGTTGCCTACGAGTATGTGTTGCTGGACTTTACTCTACAAGGTACCTTTCCCTCCTACTGTATTCGCTCGGTGGATGTGTCAGAGGTGAGGGCCCCGGGGTTTTGATGTGAGTGTCCGTTTGTGATGCTTGAAGTGTTCTTCCCACCGGATTGCATAATCACTCCGACAAGAGTGCTTTGTCTCTTAACTACATACGGAAAGATTTTTTTTTATTTTGCTCTGTTGTTTTTTGGTAACATATGTGCTTTATGAAGTTAGGAGCACTGTTGAGGACTATTTTTTTCATTCTTAAATCCAATGCTTATGTGTAGAAGGATCCGGGAAACAGGTTTGCTTTCCAGGCCAAACAGCTAGGGCCTGCATGACAGCGAGTTTTGAAAGAGATCGGAAAGGCGCAAGCAGGTAGCTGCGGGAAAGGTTCCTGGCATCTTGCGGGAGCGTGTTGCCCAGCCAGCTCTGAGGTCCCCAGTTGAGTTACATGTTGTGATGTGCTAGTTACCGGGTCTTTTGACCAAAGTGACCTTGGAGCTTGAGCACGCAGTAAGAAGGGAGAACAGACAGCCTTTTCTGTGAGGCTCGGTGCCCCATCCCTAACAGAGCACCTCCCTGTTCCAGAAAGTTGGGACACAAATAAACAAGCCCAGATGGCAGCCCCAGGAAGGAGGGAGGGGCCGGACCTCACAGACACTTGGCCTCCTCCTTTCTGGAACGCAGGGGTCTGTACATCGGCCTCTGCCAACCCCAGGCTTCAAACTGCACCGTGTCTCTAACGATGGGCGGCTAACCGTGGAGGCGAGCGTGTCCTGCCAGCCGCTGGCATTCCCAGATGTCCCTGCGTTAAGCTCCTCTCACAAAGTTATACTTTTAATTTGAAAAAGCCACACACTGTACGGGTGGGTGGGAAGTTTGTGCTGGGCATGGGGTCCCGTTGGGCATTTCCTTCGTGTCTTTCCAACGCCCCGCGGACTCCGCGCTTCTCGGCTGCCCTGAACAGAGCATCTTTGTGCGAGAGGCAGGGCAGCCCATTTTTCTTTGTCAAAAAACTGAGCCGGCGGCCAGCAAGCGCCTTCCAGGGGCGCACAGCACCCACGTCTGCTTCTCCGCGGCCGCACGTCCACTCCCACCCGAGGCCAAGGCCGCCGGGGGAGGGAATGTCAGCATTCCTCGCTTCCTTTTTCACCAGGAAAGTTAACAGTCTATTAAGATCATGGTGAGCAAGGAAGTAACCATCAGATGAATTGTGTCCATACTTTTCCAAAGACCATGACTGGAGGAAATTTCCATGATGCGGTGCTGTTTTCTCCCCAGACCGTCCCGTGGATGGCTTCTTAGGACTCGCTTCTGTAAACCCACAGGACACAGACGTGTTCTCCCCTTAACCGTAAGCCCTTGTCTGTTCATAAACCGCAGGCCAGAGCCATTTGGGGCCGCGCTTGAAGGTTTGCTGCACGGGCCCCCGTGGGATCGCAGGGCTGAGAGGCACTTGGAGCTCTTTCCTGATTTCCTCCCCACAGCGGGAACCATCTCGGGCAAACCTGTGTAAATGCAGCCGCCCTCAAATCAGAAGCATCGACAGCGCTTTCAGAAGTCACTCTGGTTTAGTTAGAGCAGGAAGTGCTGTCTGTGGAAGGAATGTAATCCCTGCTTCCACACTGGGGGGTTGGAGGCGGTAGCAGTTGTCACACTGTAGACAGAGGGTAAGTGTGGGCATGGTTTGCAGATGTCACACCAAGCGGCACATGTCTTCGAGCTGCACCTGGTTCCTGTTTGGTCCCGGCGCCCTGTCCTCTCCATGTTGTCCTACATGTTTTGTTCTTGGCTTTGACTCAGAAGCCAAAATGACATCAGCCCAGCTCCATAAACCACCTTCCTCTCTCTCCTCCGACCTCCACCTGCCACCGCGGCGCTCAGAGCCGTGAGTCAGGGCGGGGGAGCCTTCCCCCTGCATTTGGCACCGGCGACTGCCCCGGGGTTCCCATCAGGGCCGTGAGTCAGGGCGGGGGAGCCTTCCCCCTGCATTTGGCACCAGCGACTGCCCCGGGGTTCCCATCAGGAGGACCTCAGGCCACGGCGCCGTGAGCGGGCTTCCAGGAGGCACCACGGGCGGCCGGCCGCTGTGCGCTCGCCATCAGCCTGTCTCCTACCTTGTCTTCCTCTGTTTTTCCAAACACAGGCCACAGACAGCGTGAAGTCCCAGTGGGGCCAGAGGAGGAGAAATGCCCAGGGCCCTGTTATGGGGCTGTGATTTCTTGAACAACTTATTTCTTTCCCATTCAAGCACATCTCTCTCTCTCTCCTCTCTCTCTCTCCCCATACTTGGTCTTTTTTTTTTTTTTTTTTTTTTTGAACCATTATTTCCATCTCTATGGGAGAAATAATGTCATCGGCATTAAGCATATAAGGCTCTGAAGTCCCCGCTCCTAGCTTCTGAACGCAAGCGCTATCACTCACTCGCTGTGGCAAGTCTGTAAACGTCGCTCTGCCTCAGTCCCCTCATCTGTAAAACGGGGGCTCTGATGGTGCTGACGCGATAGAGACATGCTAAGGGTGAAAGGAGATCATCTACTTGAACAGGCTCCTGGCACTTGAGTGAGCACTTGATTCAAAGGTAACTAGTCTTATACCTCCTGTTATGCCAGGTCCACCAACGGCTCTGGTGAGGTTTCAGTGCACTTTTGTGATAAATTTTCTGGTTTACTGTCTAACCCAGTGGTCGGCAAACTGCGGCCCCTGTGGCTCTTCTACAAAATACCATGTGCGGGCAGGCACGTACAGTGCGATTGAAACTTCGTGGCCACACTCAAGGGGCCAAAGAGCCGCATACGGCTTGCGAGCCGCAGTTTGCCGACCACTGGTCTAACCTATATGTGTATGCGTATCAGAGTGTGTATGTTTATAGGAGTGTGTTAGATATGCTTTATTAATGAAAACTTAAATTAACTCTGCAAATTATCCAACAGGTTAGCTTACCTCTCTGTCCAATCCTAGAAAAAAATCCTAAATAATAAAAGGCTAATATGCAAATTGACCAAATGGTGGAATGACCAGTTGCTATGATGTGCACTGACCATCAAGGGGCAGACACTCAATGCAGGAGCTGCCCCCTGGTGGTCAGTGTGCTCCCACAGGGGGAGTGCCGCTCAGCCAGAAGCTGGGCTCACGGCTGGCGAGTGTAGTGGCGGTGGTGGGAGCCTGTCCCGCCTCCATGGCAGCACTAAGGATGTCCAACTGCCGGCTTAGACATTTCCCAAGGGCTCCCAGACTGTGAGAGGGTGCAGGTCGGGCTGAGGGACACCCCCCCCCCAAGTGCACGAATGTCATGCACCGGGCCTCTAGTCTAAGTGATAAAGCCTGAAGGATTTTTAGAGCATGGATAGCTCTGTGGCTAAAAGGAGTGTCTGCAATGCTAAAAGCCCACAGGACAGGTGGCAGGTTCCTCGGTGAACTACGTAAGATGTAATTCAGTAGGTTTATGTAGAACATATTAAATAAAATGTTGCTGGCCACTAGCTTGCTTCCTTTTTATTAGAACTAGAACCCAGCCTTGTCTTATCAAACCTGGTGACAGCAGTAAACACATATGATGTATGTCTTCTGTGAAGACGCCCTGACTTGCCTAAGGTGCGATTCCTTGATTCTACGAGGAATCAATAGCTGTGAAGCTTTGAACAAGTAATCAATAGACACAGAGGCGTGTTTTCAGAAGATCCATATGGGGTAGCGAGAGGGAGAGGTGGGAAGAGGGAGCGCAGTTAGGAGACTGCTTGCCGGGGTCAAGGCTAACCAACGCGGACCTGCACATGAGGGGCGGCCACAGGGTGGGATGCAGGGGCAGATATCACTGACATTGGGGAGGCGGAACGGAGCCTGTGGCTGGCGGACATGAAGGGACAGAAAGAATGAGGAATCCAGGGTGACTTCCCGGTTCTGAGCCTGAGTAACTGTGGGAATGGCGGTGCCTCTTACAGCAGCAGGGGCGTCCCAAGGAGTCGCGGGTGGTGAATGGGCAGTTTCATTGCAGGCATGTTGCATGGGGGTGGCCGAGGAACGAGCTAGAGGCGTGAGGGCCACAGAAGCAGAAAGGAGAGCACCCCCTGAGTGGAGGACCCTTTAAAGAAGTGCCACCTCATCAGAGATTAAAGGATGAGTGGGGTTTAGGCAAGGGTTTGTGTCCAGAACGTATAAATATAACTACAAACATTACCAGGAAGGAAGAGATAACCCAATAGAAAATGGCCAAGGACTGTGGGCAGATGGTTCATAAAACAGAAAATCCAAGTGGTCAACAGATACACGAAACTGTGCTCAACCTTGTTAGTAATGAGAAAAATGCGTGTTAAAAGCACAGTGGGACACCACTACACATCATGCAAAATGACTGAACTGTAAAGACTGCTGACTGCAGGTGTCGGTAAATCAGTGCAACCCTGTTGGACAAAGGCTTTGGCGTCACCTAGTTAGCTGAGCATACACCCAACAGAATCGTGGGCACGTGTGCACCCCGAGGCACATCCACGAATGTGCATAGAAGCGTCGTTTGTAACAACCCAAGTGTGAACAACTCAGAAATCCAGGAACAAGAGGCAGGACACATAAACCGTAGGAGACTCACGCAACGGAACACCACCCTGCAGAAGCCGGCAAACATTTTCTGCAAAGGGCCAGACAGGAAGTCTTGTGGGCTTTGCAAGCCATGTGGTCTTGGTCACAGCCACTCGTCTCTGGCCTTGTTGTGCAAATACAGCTCATGTAACCAAGCAGGCCATGGGCAGTGCTCTGCCGACCTCCGCTATGCTGCAATGGCGAGGGGCGACCTACAGTGACACAAGCTACACCAGGCGAATCTCAGAAACATCACGCTGAGTGGAAGAAGACAGACACAAAAGCACTAGCACACACCGTATGATTCCACGTCTATAAAGCTCAGAAAACTAGCAGGACTGAACTATAGTGTTCCTGGCTGCATACTCAACAGTCAACTAGAAAGAATAGCAAGGAAGGGATGACCATCACGCTCAAGGAGCGCAGGGAGGGAGAGGGGGTTGTTGGTGGGAAGGGTGAAATGGGGGGCAGCTGGAGTGCCCCGTTTTCTGGTCTTTGAATGGGGTGGTGGCCCAGGTGGTGGCAGTTTTAAGTATGTTTTGTGCATTTTTGGGGGGTGGGGTATGGTACATATCTACCCCCACTCAAAATTTTTTAAAAGGTTATAAAAAAGACTGAGTAACTTTGGCTGGTGTGGCTAGGTTGGTTAGATGTTATTCTGCGCACCGAAAGGTTGCTGGTTCGATTCCTAGTCAGGGCACAGGCCTGAGCTGTAGGCTTGATCCCCGGTAGGGGGTGTGCAGAAGGCAGCTGATGGATGCTTTGCTGTTATATTGAAGTTTCTTTCTTTCCCTCTGCCATTCTCAAAAAAAAAAAAAATCAATCAATAAAAACATATTTTTTAAAAAGATTGAGTAGGAAGCATGGTTAAGCAAGGCTGAAAGACGATGCACAGACTCAGCAGTCAGGGAAAGCGTCAGGTTCTGTCTGGGAAGTCCTGGTGAAGCAGATGGATGGGAGCAGCACACAGCGAGGCAGCCGGAGGTTCAAATGGTCAGAATCTGGTCTTGTATCTGCCTGTAATCATGAGCCACGGAGCTCAGTGGAGTTTTAGGGTATTTTAGAACTGCAGTTATATTGCTTCAATTAAATACGTTAATGAGCGACTACAAAAATGGCAGCTTGCATTGAAAACATAAAGGGCCCGGCGGGCATGGCTCAGTGGTTGAGCATCGACCTGTGAAACAGGAAGTTACCTTAGATTCCCGGTCAGGGCACATGCCCGGGTTGTGGGCTCGATCCCCAGTGTGGGGTGTGCAGGAGGCAGCCCATCAATGATTCTCTCTCATCATTGATGTTTCTCTCTCCCTCTCCCTTTCTCTCTGAAATCAATAAAAATATATTGAGCACAGGCGGAGGCCAGACGATGGGGAGTCTTCCGTGCCCTGCAAACGCATCTCCACTTTCTACAGGGAGCCATGAGACTCCCTAAAACCTGAACTTTGCTTTAAAACTGTGTATACAGTTCTGAAGAGACGTTGGGGTTAATGTTTGTTTCCTAGTCTTAACAGTTTGTTCTGTTTCATGGTTTTTCAGTTCCTTTGTTTGGAACTCAGGGTTGGGAATGAAAATACTGGAACATGGTAAAACCCAGTGACTCACAGAGCGACGGCCACACAGCAGGCAGAACTGGGTCACTGCACAATGAAGCCCAGCTGTTGCTTCAGAGTCCAGGGCCGTGCGGCTTTCTTCCTATTCACAGCGAGGAAGAAGCGGATTCTGAATAGATCCGTTCCCATCCAAGCGAGGATGGGCACTGGAGGAAATGGGTCCATCCTGGTTCACACGGCTGCTCTATTGAGAGCCGGCCTCTCGTGTGAGAAGTTGGCACGAACACCCGCCGAGGGTGCACTTCTGTCCCAGGGCCTGGATGTTAATGTGCGAGGAGGGGATGTCCGCTCGGCCTTCCTCCTCGTCCGCTCCTCAGCCTCCTCCCTGTCCTCTGGCCATTCGCAGTGGTTTCTGCTGGACGCCACCGACCATGCTGAGGGAGGCCAGCCGCCAGCACTGCCCTGCCCACACCTGGAGTCAATTCCAGATGTTTTCTTACTCGAGAGGCACTCAAACTGCAGGTCTACTTCTAGGTATTGACTCCTGATTGTTCTCCAGGAAATGGGAAATGTCGCTACGGAGCGCTGTTTTGTAGGTTAAGACCGCTGGAACACAAGAACCTTGTCTCAAGTAACACACCCTTTTCCCCGGACTAACTGCTGCACAGACTGTGCCGCCGTGTAGGTCCGACAGACTTGCCCAGCCTCAGAGGGAGGCCTGAGGGGCATGCAGTTTTACATTTAAATTTCCTGTGCATTTGGAATTCTTACTTTTTTAAAAAATATATATATATTTTATTGATTTTTTACAGAGAGGAAGGGAGAGACATAGAGAGTTAGAAACATCGATGAGAGAGAAACATCGATCAGCTGCCTCCTGCACATCTCCCACTGGGGATATGCCCGCAACCCAGGCACATGCCCTTGACCGGAATCGAACCCGGGACCCCCCAGTCCGCAGGCCGACGCTCTATCCACTGAGCCAAACCGGCCTCGGCGGAATTCTTACTTTTTAAAAGGAACTTCTGGGTTCCGTTACTTTTTCAGTTCCTTTACTCAACCATTTACATAAGTGCCTTAAGAAACCATATTTTTAGTTTCCCAGAGAAACAAAACACGGTGGTTTAACCCTGGTGAGGGGGCCCGGTTGGAGCGTCATACACTGAAAGGTTGCGGGTTCGATTCCTGGTCAGGGCACATGCCTAGGTTTTGGGTTCCTTCCCCAGTCAGGGCACGTATGGGAGGCAACTGATCTTTCCCTCTCTCTCTCTCCCTCCCTCCCTCTCTCTCCCTCTCTCTCCTCTCTGTATAATCAATAAAAGCATATCCTCGGGTGAAGATTAAAAAACAAAGCGAACACGGTGCTTTAGAAGTGTAATTGGAAATGACAATTCTTGCTTAACAAATACTATTTCTCCCATTCTGAATTTTAGGTGTGTATGAATTTTATTCTTAAGAATTATGCATCTCATCTTGTTCAGAATCATAAAAACAGCTGACTTTTCAACTTAACATTGTTTCTCTTGTGTCTGTGTCTTTGGTATCTATGAATGGAAATATAGTCAAATGAAATCCTAAGAAATAAAGTTGCTTAATTGAAAAAAAAAAAGCTAAGGCGTTATATTTTTACTTGAAGACATACTGATGCCCTGACCCGTTTTCTCCAGTGGTTAGAGCATCAGCCTTTGGACTGAAGGGTCTCAGGTTTGATTCCTAGTCAAGGACATGTACCTTGGTTGCAGGCTCCTTCCCTGGCCCCCAGGTTGGGGTGCATGTGGGAGGCAACCAATCAAGGTGTCTCTCTCACGTTGGTGTTTCTCTCTCTCCCCCTCCACTCTCTAAAAATCAATGGAAAAAATATCCTCCGGTGAGGATTAACAACAACAAAAAAGACATATTGGTAATAATTCTATATCTACCAGCTCATAAAGTTACTGTTGCTTTTTTCTTAAATAAATTTGGAAAATATAGGTTTCCTACTCATTAGTATTATCCCACATAGATAGAAGTAATAAATAATTCAATTTTATGGATGTGCAAATTTCTCTTTGCACTTGCTATTTCAGCGTCACCAAACCCGGAAGTCATCAAGATCAGCTCCATCCCAGACATAGTAACAAAAGTGGACGAGTACTATCGCAAAGGCTACGTTGTCGGGGCGGTTCACCCTGTCCTTCAGCCTGTGCGCCAGCGGAGGCCCCTGCCCGCCAGCCACCTGTACCGGGTGGTGCTGTGGCGCCTGAAGTTCAGGTGAGCCTGCTGCCCAAGGAGGCAGTCACACTGAGTGAGGAGCTGCTAACGGGCAGTTTTCTTTGGCTGAAAGAACAGAAAGTTCGAACAACGTGATAGAAATGAAGGATCAGTAGGAGTTTGGGTTAAGGCATGTTTCCCAGTGGTTACCCCGGGTTGAGGAAGGAAGCTTACATTTCCTCCCTTGCGAGGCCTCACTGAGTCTAGAGCCTGCAGACCAACAGGCCCCAGGTGAGGAAGACTGTGCCAAAGGGAAGGGAAGCAGCCTGGAGACGCACGTGGAAGCCGACAGGGTAGCCGCAGCTCCAGGTCCTCGGGGCCTGGGCCAGGGACTCTCTGTGAGCATTTTTAACTGCCCTGCGTTGTTCTGTTACAGGGCACAGACACCGTCTCCCTTCTGAAACGGTTATTTCCCAAAGGCCTACATGCCATGTTCTTACAAAGTGGATAGAGCTCTTATCAAATATATATATTATTGATTTCAGAGAGGAAGGGAGGGGGAGAGAGCAAGAACATCGACGATGAGAGAGAATCATTGATCAGCTGCCTCTGACACACCCCACACTGGGGACCAAGCCCAGGGCCCAGGCATGTGCCCTGACCAGGAATTCTGGTTCATGGATTAACACTCAACCACTGAGCCACACCAGCTGGGCTTGTCAGCTTTTTTAAAAAAAATAAGTAAAAGCCATTTATTTTATTATTTAAACTTTTTGAAATAGTTACTTTCCCAAACAATACTGCAACCATTTTTTGCCAGACTAGCTTGTAAGTTTGAACGTTTTCAAAGACTGTTGTTCCTTCCAGTGATGAAAATAACCAGACCCATTTTCTTTGATTAGCATTCCATTTTTTTAAACCACTCTTCAACTACACCAAAACCATCTCAAAGACCAAGGTAAAACCTGTGTTTTCTCTTTCTAGGAATAGACTAATAATCAACCCCCTTAACTATGAAAGGGCTAAGCAGAGAAGAAAAAATGGAATAAGACGAAAAGAGGGAAAACTGAAGGAAGTAAACATTTAAAAACTGTTCTAGGTGTGCTTCTAAGGGACACTGTCCTTACCGAGTAACTGCCCCCTGGTCCGTGTCCAAGGGGGTGCACGCAGGCAGCAGCCTCGTCGGGCATGCCCAAAGAAACACGCCACTTACCACACAGTAGGAGCACGTTTCCTACTTACAAACCTTACTAACCATGTATACAGTATTTTTCTCGTTTAGCATTGCTTAAAATAGACTCAGTGGTGCCCTCACAAGGCGAAGACTAAGTAAGGGGGAAAACTCAGAGAAGAAGAAAAAGGAAAAACACGGGCCAATATTGACCTGCATTTGAATCAGATTTTCACTTGTGCTTTTGTACCATAGCGAGGTCTGCTAGTCATCCCAATTCACTTCTCAGAACATTTGTTAAAACAACAGTCATGAAACTTTTCTTCTATATTAAGTTGGAAATTAATATATGAATAAATTTAAATGAATAAAAGTGGCTGTTTTTCTGGTATTTTTGCCCAAGAAGACAACCGTGAGGCTTGAAATGACAAAGCAAAGAAATGATTGCTTGGACCTTCCTTGTTGCTCATGCATTTTCACGTGAGCAAATCCGCTTAAACTCAGCAACCGGCTTCGGGCTTCTGACCCTGAACTATTCTCTGTTGCAGCCCGAAGCTCTCAGCAGCACCCAGCGGACAGAGACGCCCACGGCTGGTGATTGAGGAATGTCCTCTAATGCATGAGACGCAAGCAAATGACGTAGCAAAAGAACTGATAGAAAAGGTACTAAATGTATACATTTTTTTCATGGGATATTGAGACGTCATTGGTATTTCTTCTCCATCAGTTTCCTTTCTTGTTTGAAAAAGAACAGAGAAATAATAGGTGACTTATTCTACCATATACCAAATTGTGCAGTGTTAAAAAACGTATTATACTTTTTTATGTATGAAAACAGACATGGAGGCCAATGAAACAGATGGAAATGCCAGAAATAAACTTATACACATAGAAGTTTCATAACAAACCTGAGGAAATAAAAGGGGAGCAACATTACTTAGCAAGTGCCATGGGGAGCGTGGGCAGCTCTTCTGTAAGCAGCACATGCCACATGTTTCCAATGAGATAAAGAGGTCATTTTTAAGTATAAAAATTCTGAAAGAAAATGAAAGAGTAGATGTAGTCAATTATAAATAGGCTAGAGGCCCAGTGCATGAAATTCGTGCACAGGGGCAGTGGGTGTCCCTCAGCCCAGCCTGCACCCTCTCCAATCTGGGACCCCTCGGGGGATGTCCGACTGCCGGTTTAGGCCTGATCCCACAGGGGGGGATCACCGTCGGGCATCCCTCCCACAATCCGGGACTGCTGGCTCCTAACCGCTCGCCTGCCTGCCTGCCTGATTATCCCCTAACCGCTTCTGCCTGCCAGCTTGATCGCCCTCTAGCCGCTCCCCTGCCAGCCTGATTGATGCCTAACTGCTCCCCTGCCGGCCTGATCACCCACAACTGCCCTCCCCTGCTGGCCTGATCGCTCCCAACTGCCCTCCCCTGCCACAACCCGCCTCCTCTGTTGGGCCCTGTCTCCCTGTGTGCATGGCCATTTTGTGACAGCCATCTTATGACGGCCATCTTGTGACAACATTAGGGCGTGATGCATGAGGGCGTGACGACCACCTAGGCTATTATTAGTATAGATTGAGGACTTTGAATTTCATATATAGATATAGCAAATACTAGGAAAACTAAGCTTAAAACTAAGCTTAAAGAATCCAGATGAACTCTGCAACAAGTGTCCTCTGGGAACTTGGTTTCAGAATCTATATGAAGTGAGTAAAATGCATTAAAGCGGTGTCCAGTCTTGAATGGACACAGAATCCATGAACAGTGGATACAGAAGGAAACAGTTACAAAGAGGCATTTGGCCAACAGTTCAACCTAACCAATCATTTTTAGTGTAAATGTAGAAGCTGAGAACAACCGCCACACCAGGATTCACTGAGAAGTTACATTGAAAGTGTGAAATCCAGTGTTGGGTGAGCTTTAAGAAAAATCCATATATTGCAACTGGCATTGTAATAACTTAGTACAGTGTTCCTGAATATTAGTTTGGTAATAAAAATTATAAATCCTGTTTTATTTGGTGACTCAATAAGTTCCTCTGTAGGAATCTATTCCAAGAGATTCATGGAGAAGGGGAAAAGTCATTTCTAGACAAAAATATTTTAACAAATAGCGAATAAGAGGCCAAATTCTCAATAACTGGCAAACTGAGGAGGCAGTGGGCCCATCAAGACAATAGAACCATGGTCAGCAAACCGCGGCTCACGAGCCACATGGCGGCTCTTTGGCCCCTTGAGTGTGGCTCTTCCACAAAATACCACGTGCAGGCGCGCATGTACAGTGCAATTGAAACTTCGTGGCCCGTGTGCAGAAGTAGGTATTTTGTGGAAGAGCCACACTCAAGGGGCCAAAGAGCCGCATGTGGCTCGCGAGCCCCGGGTTGCCGAGCCGCAGTTTGCCGACCACTGCATAGAATATTTATGGTTCCTGAGCGTGGCAACTATATTGACCGGCAGTCTATACAGTATAACCTAATTGAAACTTAAAAAGTAAACACTATGCATGTTGATTAAAATCAAGAAAAAAACTTACACTTATAAGTATTCTAAACTGATGGGGTTTTACACTGAAGTTTTCTTTTGTGTTGCATTGGCATACTTGTAAGATTGTAGCTTTTATTTACATGAATAGAACCAAAAAACTAAGACATTTCCTTTCCAGGAAGAAAGGGTGGGACTTGCTCACTGTTCCTGTGCCTGTGCCCAGGCTGTGAGTGGCTGTGTCCGAGCAGCTGTGGCCTGTGCACAGCCAGGGACAGCCGCCGCTGCTGTCGCCACTTCTGTGAAGGTCACCGGCACTCAGAAGGCTTTTCAGGAACAGGCTGGGAGACAGACTTTTATAAACGACGTACGCATGCTGTTTACTACTACTATTCTGGGAACATTTTTTTTTCTGGGGATAAATCCACTCCAGAAAATTTCTGTTGAAAACAAGAATATAACGGCTAGTTCAGTCTTAATGGATCGCCGTCAGAGCTCTTGTTTTGCATCTGACTTCCTGGAGACAGTTACAGGCCCACTTAAACAGGAAAGTGCTGTTATTCCAGCAATTAGAGGAACGGCTATTTCAGAAAGAGAGCCGCTTCAGGAAACGCGCAGGGGACATGGAGCGTCGCCCGTGTGCGCACAGGAGCAGTGGATGGACGCCAGGCGTCAGCTTGGAACGGCCGCCTTGGATAAAGAGTTGGTGGTTGAACAGCTAGATTTTAAGTCATTTTAACATTATAGCAATGTTTGCTCTGTTTTTAAAAGTAGGTTCGCAAGTGTTTTTTCCCCAGGATTTTTAAATAAAAATAACATTGGAAAACATCGATCTTCCAACTTAAAAATGGAAAACACTAATTAACAATCTATTTGTTACCAGACTTTTCCAGATGAAACTTTCTAGTAATAGGAAAAGGCTTCTTCACTTTTTCACCCAAATCAACATATAAGACTCGAGAAAGCACTGGCAGTCACTGTACCGTTTCCCCCTGCAGGGTGCCCCCCCACCCCCCACCCCCGCCCCGGCCCTGGTGTGAAGCACAGCTTGTGATGATGGCCAGGCTTCGAGCACAGTCACACCGTCAGTGCTAACTTACAGGAGTCAATCGATGGCACTGTGTCCGCAGAGTCCTTTGTCCAGCTCGCACACCCACGCGTCCTGCTCCGCCGTCTTCTCCGTCAGCGGGAGCGACAGGACAGGCGCCCTCTCTTTTTTAATTTTTTTAAAAATATATTTTATTGATTTTTTACAGAGAGGAAGGGAGAGGGATAGAGAGCTAGAAACATCGATGAGAGAGAAACATCCATCAGCTGCCTCCTGCACACCCCCTACTGGGGATGTGCCCGCAACCAAGGCACATGCCCTTGACCGGAATCAAACCTGGGACCCTTCAGTCCGCAGGCCGACGCTCCATCCACTGAGCCAAACCGGCCAGGGCTAGGCGCCCTCTCTAATGGACACTACCCTCTGGGTTAGCCCCCTTCTTCCTGCCATTTCGTTTCTGACTCTAGATGTCCACAGTTGCAACCTCCATCATGACTTACCCTTCCTCTCCCAGGTAACGTTTAAAACCTTTCATGTAGCCCTGGCTGGTATGGCTCAGTGGACAGAGAGTCGGCCTGCGGACTGAAGGGTTCCAGTTGGATTCCAGTCAAGGGCACATGCCTGGGCTGTGGGCTCAAGCCTCAGTAGGGGGCGTGCAGGAGGCAGCCAATCAGTGGTTCTCTCTCATCATTGATGTTTCTATCTCTCGCTCCCTCTCCCTTCCTCTCTGAAATCAATAAATATATAATTAAAAAATAAAACTGTAATGTACATATTTAGACCAGTGACCACATAAAAGAGGTTGCTCTTTCTTTAACTTATTTAACAAGTACTTACAGGGCACCTATAGGTACAAAACATTACAATACAAAGATGAATAAGACTCATCCTGCTCTCAACATAACTGCCAGTCACACCCTGGGGGCCGGGAAGAGACACGGGCACAAAAGGAACAGAGAAATGCCCTGACCAGTTTGGCTCAGTAGATAGAGCATCGGCCTGCGGACTGAAGGGTCCCAGGTTCAATTCCAGTCAAGGGCATGTATCTTGATTGCAGGCACGTCCCCAGTAGGGGGTGTGCAGGAGGCAGCTGATTGATGTTTCTCTCTCATCGATGTTTCTCTCTATCCCTCTCCTTCCTCTCTGTAAAAAATCAATAAAATATATTTTAAAAAAATAAAAGGAACAGAGAAATGAAGCGCAGGCAGAGGAAGGAGAAGTGCTTTGAAACGGCCACTCGTGTCTGAATGTGTCACAGGTCATGCCACGGGCTCTGGCCCCGTTCTTGCCCTGACAGAGCAATCTAAGCGTGTTCCTTGGCCCAGGCGGGCGGCAGTGGCACCAGGTGCACGCAGTCAGAAAGCTGCCTCAGGCAGGCAGTGCGAACTGGGTTTATGCATCACACACGTGGCCAAGAATCTGCCCGTTAACATTTTTCTTCCCCACATCAAACAACGAGTTGTCAAATGTTATTTTTGAACAACTGTATATTTTTTTGTTTCTTAATGAATGTCTTCTGTATTCATTAAGATGTGTTTGGTAATGTTATTTTTGAGGATTTCTCAGAATAGTTTTTCATTTTGCCTCAACTAGAGAGACCATGGTGACCAGGTCTGCAGAAATCATGCTATGGAATGACTAGCCCTTCCCAAAGGGTAACCTTTTAAAGAAACACAGGACTCCTGCCTGCACCCTTCCTAGCTGCCTGAACTGCTCGAAGAAGTCACCTTCACGGTGTGGCAGTCTCGGGAGTAGCGCCCTATCACAGGTCGCTGGTTTGTTCGTGAATAAGTCTTTAGCCACCAGCAAATGCATTCCCTGTGCTAATTTCCTTAATGAGCCTACAGGAAATTGATTACTTGGCAATCAGTTGACATGAAATTCCTATGTTGTCCCACCGTCTCTTTTGAAACCTCAGATCAATGAAGCTTCTAAGCGAGGACGGAGGTTTGTGGGACTCCTGGCCCAGCATTCTGCGCCGTTCTGCAACGGGACCGACCTGGACGGAGCCGGAGAGCCCGCCCTGCCGGGGCGCCACTCCTGCGAGGACAACGGGAGAGGCTGGAGTGAAGGCCCCCTGGGCGGGCAGCCCTCGGAGAGTGGGGCGGAGGGAGAGCTCCACCCCGAGAGCGGGCCATGCCAAAGGGAGCCACACGGCAGCCCCAGGGCCTCCGAGGCAACACGGGGAGAAGGTAATAGACCAGAGGAGTAGAGACAGGACATCTGTTAGGTTAAACTTAGCAAAACAGGTTGTTGGTTTTTGTTGTTAATTCTCACCTAAGGATATTTTTCCCACTGATTTTTTTTTTTTTTAGAGAGAGAGAAACATTGATGTGAGAGAGGCACATCGATTGGTTGCCTCTTGCATGGGCCCCAACCAGGGCCAGAGATCGAACCCACAACCCTGCAGTATGAGGGCCAGTGCTCCAACCACTGAGCCACGCTGTCCAGGGCTAACAAAGTAAGTTTTTTAGGCAAAGTAAGTTTCTAAAGGTTACGGGGACGACATAAACGAATATAAACTCGTCTTATTCTTTAACATTATTACAGTCAGAAGTAAGGCAGGACAGTTTTCCAAACAGCGTCTCTGGCGGGTCTGACAGTGCCGCCCACGTAAGGACACTGTGTGTTGAACACTGCTTTCCAGTTAGGCCCTCACCAGCTCCCTGGGAAGCCAGGCTGTGCCTGTGAGTCGAGAGAGCGATCCTCTGAAGAAAGCTGCTCTGACTTGCGTGTTCCCTTGTCAGCAGCGTGTGAGGATTTTCGTTGGGGCCTTTCCCATTGCGTGGATGGCGTTCACCCTTGAAGCTCATCCCTTTCTTTGATCATCACTTAGAATATGAAAATGGCCCGTCATGGTGAAACAATTCCTGTAACAATAGTGCCCGCATCCTAAAATATCTTTAAACCATCGTTTTATTGTTCTCAGCCAACTGGCAAGTCTTTTGGAGAAACGGAGACTCTGTTTTTGGACTGTTAAACGTTTTCTGGCACCTTCCCAGGCATGTTTCAAAAAGCAGATTAGAGCCCTAGCCAGTGTGGCTCAGTGGATAGGGCATCAGCCTGCAGACCGAAGGGTCCCAGGTTCGATTCCGGTCAAGGGCACATACCTTGGTTGCAGCCCCTCCCCGGCCTGGGCCCTGGTCAGGGTGTGTGCAGGAAGCAACTAATCAATGTTTCTCTCACATCAATTTTTCTCTCTGTCTTTCCCTCTCTCTAAAAGATCAATGGAAAAATATTTAACAAAAAAAAAAAAAAGCACTATTTAAGAAAATCAAAGACTGTGTATGACCTTAGGGTTAGGGATATGCTTAACTTCTGGGATGAGAATAAGACTGCCTTCCTTATGGGACGGGGTTGTGAGAAGTAAGGAAGGGAAGTCTGCCAAGTGCTGAGCCCAGGGCCTGGCTGTGTAAACCCTGCACCAAGTTAGCTGCTGGGACATGACCCTTTCATCAGTGTTGGTGCTGCAGCTGCTCACAGTGTGACAGGGCATCCTGAGTGGTCTCTGAGATGTGCTGAAATCCTGTACCTAACAAACACCCATTGGACCCTGGTCAGCGCCATCTCCTTTACAAAACCGGGAGGATTTCCCACTCCCGCTCTCACCCATCCCCCACCACCACCCTGCCCTTTCCACCGGTCCCCAGCTCACCACCACGCCGGCTTCCTGCCGCGTGAAACACTCAGGAGTGTAAGAGGGAGCGAGCGGTGGGGCTGTGGTCAGGACGCTGCTCACGTCCACCCACTGCTGCCCTTCAGCTGCTGGTGCCCAGCCTCCCCTTGGTTAGATGTCTGTTTCCAGGTCTTTAAGTTCTAAACCAGGAGGCTACCTACTTAATGTGTGTCCACCTTTAGATTCCACCTTCTAAATGGCTTGTTTTTAAGTCATACCGTTCCTAATAACTTTCTGCGGCAGGGGCTCTTAGAACCACTGAGGGGGGGCGAGGGGGGCGAGCAGGTACCTACAAAAGACCTCTTAGAGAATCGGATGAAATTCATGATACTCAACCCAGAAAAACGCACACAACACACACACCCAAGTCCTGGTGTCTGTACCGCACGCGGTGGTAGACTTTCTAACACAGTCACGGGTGTGGGTCCGTCGTCCGCCCAAAGGAAGAATTTGCCAACTTACAGTAAAGGCTAAGACACGACCCAGCAATTCTACGTCTGAGTACGGGTTCTAGGGTGGCTCCCACACGTGTCCAAGGAGACATGAGTAATAATTGTAGTAACAAAAATCTGGAAGCAGTGTATGTGTCCTCCAATAGAGAACAGTAGACTGGAATACTGTGTGAGCTAAATGACTAAGATCTGTGAAGTGTTAACTATACGGCAGAAGCGTAATATTGAACAAGAAAATCAACTTAAAGATTGGCATGTATAGCATGATGCCATTTTTTAGACGTTTTTTAACTGTAAAACATTGTATATCATCTGTGGGCATATAAATCTATAGTGAAAGAATAAAAGCTTGCATGAGAGTGGTAAACACCAAGTTCATTATAGTAGCTATTTCTGGAGCATGGGATAAGGGAAGATTTCATAGTGAGCCTCAACTATTTCCGTCTCTCAACCACTTAAAAAAGTCTGAAGCAAACACGGAACAATGTTAAGATTCGATAAAGTTGAGTGGTAGGTAATTTTGTTATTCTCTACTAGAGGCCCGGTGCACGAAATTTCGTGCACTGGGAAGGGTCCCTCAGCCTGGCCTGTGCCCTCTCGCAGTCCAGGAGCCCTCAGGGGATGTCCACCTGCCTTGAAGGCGGGAAAGGGTCCCGCCACCACCACGGCACTCTCCAGCCGTGAGCCCGGCTTCTGGCTGAGTGGCGCTCCCCCTGTGGGAGCGCACTGACCACCAGGGGGCAGCTCCTGCATTGAGCGTCTGCCCCCTGGTGGTCAGTGCACGTCATGGAGACCGGTCGTTCTGACATTCGGTCTATTTGCATATTAGTCTTTTATTATATAGGATGCTTGTTATGTGCTTGAAATAGCTCGTGATTAATAAAAAATATTTTAAGAATCTTTTCAGTGAAATTATAGCTCTTCCCTCTTTCTTTCTGAATGCCTGTCCTCAGATAACAAGTTGTATATAGTCTTCAACGTGTTTGATGATGAGTCCACCGGCTGGACCTACCAGGAGGGCGTCCTGTCCATGAAAGTCACGAGGAAAGGACCCGTCATTAGCACACTTGATGCTGATTGGCTGGAGTTAACGACTTTCTACTATAAGCAAGGCTTGTCTTTAATTGACTCTTTTGTGTGCTGGGAAACCCCTAGAGGTAAGTTTTCAGTTGTGATAATGTCTTTAAAAACTGACCTTATGTTAGAGTGGGTGGAAATGTGTTTGCCTCTCAAGATCTGTGGCTAAAAGGACAGATGTTATTCCTGAGGAAATAGATTCCAGTCCTTGCACGGCTCTGTCGCTTTAATGTGAAAGCTTCACCATCCCGGTGGGAGAAGTTAATGTGATGTTTGCTGTTGGGTTGTCACTGTCAGGACTAGACAGACCTCCAGCAACCCAACCGGGGTCTGACGACGGCATTTGAGGATTACTATCCAAACGGAGGACACTATCCCAATGTGGGACTACCTACCTGATTCTTTCTCTACTTTGTCCTGAAAAATAACTTTTGCTTCAGAAAATGATATTGATCTGATGTTCCTGTCTGCCTTCCCCCATCGTTCATCTGTCTCCAGCCTTCCTCTTTTAGTTACAAAGGAATCTGTAGTCATCCATCTACATCACAAAAACCACAAAGAAACAAACAGAACTCCAAAAATGACTTTCTAAGGAAAGTGTTTTTAAAAAGATATTAGCACTAAAAGAAAAGAAAAATAGACATTAAGGAAGCTGGAAACATGGAAGGATGGAGGCCATGAAAACCAGAAGAGGGCCGGCCCATGTGGCTCAGTGGTTGAGTGTCGACCTAGCACCAGGAGGTCACAGTTCGATTCCGGTCAGGGCACATGCCCAGGTAGTGGACTCGATCCCCAGCAGGGAGGTGTGCAGGAGGCAGCCGATCAATGTTGATGTTTCTCTCTCATCCATGTTTCTCTCTCTCTCTCTTCCTCTTCCTTCCTCTCTCTCTAAAATCAATAAAAACATTTTTTTTAAATGAAAAACAGAATAGCTGGGGACCCTAACTCAATGAGGTTAGAGAAAAGAATGAAGAAGTAAATAAGATGAGATCTCAGTATACCTTATTATCATTAAATCGGTGCAGTGATAACTTCACTGATACAACTGAAGACTTTGGATGAATATTTTGAATTATCGAGAGTCACATGTTCCAGAGGACCCTTCTAACCAGAAACCAGGATTCAGGCCCGAGCCCACGGCAGCCCCAGAAGTGCGGCTGCTTGAGGAGCACTGGGCAGAGCAGATGCTCAAGGAAGATTTTTTGGTTCTTGGAAACTTCTTCCAAGTTGGTCTAAAGGGAAGAGCATGGGCCTTAAGATCAGACAGACCAGATTAAATCCGATCTCCTCTCCTGATTAGCTGTGGGATCTGAAGAAGGCAGTTGAGCCCCGTTTCTTCGAAGGGAGATAAAAACAGTCTTACTTCAACCCATAGAAACAGAAACGGAAGGGAAGGCTACCAGAAGGGAGGGGGAAGTGAAGGGGAAATGGTCAATAGCACTGTGATGTGTTTGCGCGGGGTCAGATGGTCACTAGAATTGGGGGGGGGTGTAGCACATAAACATGTCCAATCGCTGTATTGCATACCTGAAACTAACATAACCCGTATAAGATTGTATGCCAACTGTACTTAAATCAACTAATGAAAACTTAAAAAATACTCCCACTTGATCGTTGTGAGAATTCCATAAGCTACAGCCTGTGCACAGGGACCCCCCAGCGCCCGCTCGCCCTGGGTGGTCACGGTCTGAGGCTAAGTTTCTTTCCCGACGCTGGTCCTGTGCAGTCACAGTGCTCTGAGCGCGGGTCTCCTACTTGGGGGTCGGTCATGCTTCATATTTCTCTACCCCCTCACCCCCTCACCCCCTCTCCCTCCCTCCCCCCTCGCCCCCTCCCTCTCCCCTTTGCTTTCCTTCTCTTTCCCTCCAAAGAGTCTCAGTTGGAGCCATTTCAAATTTGGGGTTGTGACTAACTGCTGCAGGAAAAACAAAAAAGACTCCTTTCACGTCTCTTTCAGGCACTTGCCCATGAAGATAAAATTAGCCACAGCAGTTGCCAGTGACAGGCTGGGGGGGAGGGGGGGCTTTTGTTCTTAGAGCTCCCAGGCTATTTAGAGATCCTGGGGCTGGGGGTGGGAGGACATTTTCCACCCCCACCCCCGCAGCCCCTGGGTGTGTCACCCTGACTTGCTGGGAGCAGCCGGGAGCTGCAGGGGGTGGTGACCAAGGACCAGGGCCTGTGTGGCTCTGAGCAGCAGGGCAGGAGGGAGCAGGGCTGGGCTGGTGGCTTTGTTGGGGCAACAGGGGAGCCCCGGGACAGGGCACCTTTCCTTCGTCCCCTTCCACCCTCTTCCAAGATACCATCAGGAGTCAGCCCACCACAGGAACGAGGTGCAAAGCAGACATGGCTCAGGAATGGAAATGCCCCCCCATAGCTGGCGTTTCATGAACCCCTTCCTCCAGTCAGAGAGGGACCAGGAACTTCACAAGGTTCCCCCATGGGCGGGCGGGCGGGCGGGTGGTGGAAGGCTGGCGGGGTGTGCCAGGCCTCTCCAGGGCCCTCCCCAACCTCCACGCCTCCTCTCGGGAAAGCCCCCCCCCCCGCCCCCTCCGAAGGTGCATGGGGGCCTCTTGCCATCCCTGCGGCCGAGGGTTCCCACTGCCCGGCCCTGCACCCAGGCCCAGCGCTGCCGTCTCCGCCAGCGTCCGCAGCTGGGCCCCTGCACACTCTGGGGGGACACACCGGTGGGTAACACCCCCAGATGGACCCAGGAGCGCCACCCACTGGGCCAACAGACACAGGCGCTTGGTCCTCCGGAGCAGAGGCTTGCGGGCAGCGCCGTGGGGTGAGACGGCAGCTCTGCCGACTGGTACCCCCGCCCCCCCCCCCACACACACACACATACACACACACATACACACACACACACACACATACACACACATACACACACATACACACACATACACACATACACACACATACACACACACACATACACACACACACACTCACACACACACACTCCCCATCGTCCTCCGAGCACAGCCTCCTCCCAGCTTTAGCACCACCCGCACCTTCAGGCTACAGCTCCGTCTGGATGGATCCCGTTGGCCTCCCTCGGAACCCAGTGCCCCCTTCGCCCCGTGGAAAGGCTCGCGTGGAATCGGGGGATGTGTCAGGACAAGGAGGGGGGTAAAAACGCTGCCACGTGGATTTACTCCCTTCACATACGTGTGTGCCAGGCCCCGGGCTCACGATGACGAGGGCAGGGATGCCCTCCCTGCTCTCGCGGAGCCGGCCTCGCGGCGCCCGGCAGGGACCGGTGTCCAAACAAAGAGCCTGACTTTCCTAATCGAGCAAAGTGCTGTCATGGGGCCCGGCAGGTGACGAGAGTGCAGGGCAGAGCCGCGTGGAGGTGTCAGGAGTCTGTAACCGCCCACTAGACGGAAGGCTGGCAGGGAGCGAGCTCTAGGGCGGGAGAGAGGAGCTGGGGAGAATGGCGCACACGGGGTGGGAGAGGTGAGCACAGCCCCTCCTCGCAGAGTCTACGCGTGCGCACCTACTGTGTGCCTCCTGTGTGCCCGCGCTGCTCTCAGCAGCTCCCACTCACTACCTCAGGTCACTCCCACGGCAGCGCCATGAGCTAGGTCTGCTTGCTCCCCGCTTACAGATGGGGAAACTGAGGCACAGAGCTCTGCATGTGCCCCTCCCACAGCTAGACGGGGGTACCAGCGTGGAGTGGGTGCTCTTAGGCATTTGCCATCGGTCAGGACTTTTATTCCAAGTCATCCATTGAACATGGAAAGGAGGAATCTGGCCTGAGGTGCATTTCTGGAAGAACCGCTCTGGCTCATCCTGCGAAGTGGGTCACAGAGGGGGTGGGCGGGAGCAGGCGTGGGAGCTGCTGCCGTGACGGCAGGGAGGGGCGGTGGGGTGAGGGCAGAGACAGGCTGGCATTCCTTCTGGAGACAGAGCTCCCGAAGGAGACACAGTCCCCACGGGCTTGCCCGCCACCGCCCCTGCCCTGGGCCCACCGCCCTCAGGTTAAGGCCCACAGTGACGCGTGCACCGAAAGACGGCCGTGGAATGTTCCCGTCCCGCTAGACGTGGCATCGACCTGTAGCTGAACTGAATGTGTCAGATCCTGCCCCGACACGTAGCCTCTTCCCTGGGACCCTTTAAGCGTGTGCTTCTCCATCCAGGGCCCGGGGCCCCTGGGGTGTGGCCTGTGCCAGGGGGTACAGAGTTCACAGGTGAACCTCCTCCCGCGTGTCCTCACCTCAGGGGGGCCGAGGGGGCCCCGTTTCCTTACACCATAGGGACATGCGGGAAAGGACGCCAGGTTTGCATCCACTTCGGACTGCGCCGGGAGCCCACCCTTCATCCGCACCGTGTACGTTCCGTTGCTACGGGTGGCACTGGCTTCTGAAAGGGTTTTTTGAGAAGCGGCGGGTCAGGGCTTTGTGCCTTTTCATATCAGGCACACGGAGAAGGTGGTAATGCTGCCGGGCACACGGCCCAAGCGGAGACAGCTGCTCGGCAGCAGGCGGCGCCCCGGGTCTTGGCGCACCCGGGCCCCGTTCTCTCTCTCAAACTAAAAGAAGCGTACAAGTACGGGGAACCCTGGTGCCAGGAACCAGAAAACAGGCAGAGCCACAAAACCCGTGGTTCTCACGCCACAGAACCCCCGAGGACGCAGATCGTAAATAGCTACATTGTTATCGAAGCACATCATTATTCTTAAAATGCACGCCCCCGTTCTAACTAAAGGACTTAGGGCATAGCCATTCTTTATGGTGGTTAGTGATGCCCTGAACTTACAATCAGAAAGAGACTTAGCTTTGGCTAAGTGGATAGAGGGTTGGCCTGAGGACTAAAGGGTCCTGGGTTCTATTCCAGTCAAGGGCACGTGCCTGGGTTGTGGGCTCCCCAGTAGAGGGCATGCAGGAGGCAGCCGATCAATGATTCTCTCTCATCATTAATGTTTCTATCTCTCTTTCCTCCCTTCCTCTCTGAAATCAATAAAAATATATTTAAAAAAAGAAAGAGACTTGATTCTTCTGGTCACTTTGGTGTGACAAAGGTCAGGTACATTTAAAAGGAAATAGGGCATCTGCTGTCCTTAGAAAACCATTTCCAACGAGTTAAACTTTCCTGGACGCCACTCGAACAGCGTAAGTTCTTCATGGCGGTCTGTCTTCACTGTCAGCGATGTGCAAATGATGGCACCATGATTTCCTCTTACGGTGGAGAAGCCTGTTCATAAAAACTAAAACTACAAATCACACGGAAAACATTCTTGCCTCGTTTGTATTTAAGTTTAGCAGAGCACTGAAAGCTTCGCAGGCCTTTGTTACTTGGACAACTGTCAGCCAGGCCAACGTGGAGGTGACCCTGCGCCACATGAAAACCACATTGTTCAACCCACATGTGACCGTGGGAAAACTGTCTGCGATTGCAAAATTGGAGACAAAAGAACATCCATAAAATCAGTTTAGCTTTGGCCAGATGGTCATTGTCAGCCGTTCAAGAAAAGGTCTCCCTGGAAACTTCCTGCCCAGCAGGCGTCCTTTCAACAATGACTTCTGTCTAGGACCTTCCTGTCACCGTTCATTTTTTTTTCAAGCATCACTGAAGTAAAGCATTGTTCCATGTTTGCATTTTTTTTTTAATATATTTTATTGATTTTTCACAGAGAGGAAGGAAGAGAGACAGAGAGCTAGAAACATCGACGAGAGAGAAACATCGATCAGCCGCCTCCCGCACACCTCCCACTGGGGATATGCCCGAAACCCAGGCACATGCCCCTGACCGGAACCGAACCCGGGACCCTTCAGTCCGCAGGCCGACGCTCTATCCACTGAGCCAAACCGGTTTTGGCCCATGTTTGCATTTTTGACATCATCTTGCCTCACATTCGTGTTACTGTCCCACCTGTACATGTCAAGGGTTAATAGTGCTGATGTCGTTTCTCTCAAGAGTAGAACTAACATGCAGACAACCTACAGGCCAGAAACCACGATTCGAGGTGCAGTTTCTTTCCGGGTGCTCCTTGGGCTTAGGAAATCGGCTGGCCTCTCCGTGTAGTAGGATATTACTTTATCTTGTTTTGGTTATCATCGTTTTCATGTTCACAGTTTGATTTTAACGGGCTGACGCATAAAACTGTCTTGACCAGGGGTCCTCAAACTACGGCCCGCGGGCCACATGCAAATACAAATATTGTATTTGTTCCCGTTTTGTTTTTTTACTTCAAAATAAGATATGTGCAGTGTGCATAGGAATTTGTTCATAGGTTTTTTTTTAAACTATAGTCCGGCCCTCCCACGGTCTGAGGGACAGTGAACTGGCCCCGTTTAAAAAGTTTGAGGACCCCTGGTCTTGACTTTGGCAACAACAATGTAACCTTCAGAGAGGAGGAGGGCGTTGCTGATGGAGCCACAACAAATGTTTACAAAGGGACCTGCTTGCCTTTCTGCTTCCTACGAGGGTTATTTAAGGACGGGGACGCTCTTAAGAAACACTTCGTATTTGCAACTCTTCTCAGCTGTATCCTCTTCCTCGCAGGGGACCACGTGCCTAAAGCGCTGGACGGGTTCTTCATCTACGAAGAGGAAGGCTCCGGGGTGCCAGGGTCCAGCCGAACAGGAAATGACGCCATCGTGGTGGAGCAATGGACTGTTATCGAGGTAAGCTGCCGTTGGCTGACAATTGGGCTTTACTTTCATATTTAGTTTTATACGCTTTTTAAATATTTTATTGATTTTTTACAGAGAGGAAGGGAGCGAGATAGAGAGTTAGAAACATCGATGAGAGAGAAGCATCGATCAGCTGCCTCCTGCACGCCCCACACTGGGGATCGAGCCCACAGCCGGGGCATGTGCCCTGACTGGGAATCGAGCTGTGACCTCCTGGCTCATAGGTCAACGCTCCACCACGGAGCCACGCCGGCCAGGCTCGTTCTATATGATGTTAACGGCCTTCACCGCCTCGCACAGTGAGCCCCTCCCGCCGTCTGAGCAGCCTTCAGACGCAGGAACAAGCCTCAAACCTCTCTCCGCGCGGCGGGGAGCAGTGCCTGTGACGCCCAACTTGTGATAAGACAGCAACACAATGACCTGTGCATGAATGGCAGCGAATTCCCCAAGACTGGCCCTCGAGCCCACAGAGCCCCCTGGCCCGAGCCTCTCTATGCAACGCCCGGCACCTGGGTGAACGTGAACAAATTCCGAGGGTAGCTGGCGTTTGTCTCCAGCAACCAAAGGACCTGGTTTCTGACCTGTGACCTCTCAAAGGCAAAGGCATCCGAACAAAAGGTGTTCTCTCCCAGCAGCCAAACCTCCATGCACTGCCTCCTAACCAGGGAGGCCTGGCTGCCGTGTGCCCTGGACTCACAGCCCGCCCACCGAGGGGGACAGGCCACTTGAGGGGGACAGGCCGCCCACCCGAGGGGGACAGGCCACTTGAGGGGGACAGGCCGAATTCAGGCACATCGTGTGGGCCCGCAGCCCTAGGCCCCTGGACGGCAAACTGCGGCTTGCGAGCCACATGCGGCTCTTTGGACCCTTGAGTGTGGCTCTTCCTAAGCCTTAGGAGCACCCTCATTAAGTTAATAACAATGTACCTACCTATATAGTTTAAGTTTAAAAAATTTGGCTCTCAAAAGAAATTTCAATCGTCGTCCTGTTGATATTTGGCTCTGTGGACTAACGAGTTTGCCGACCACTGCGCCTAGGCCCTGGCTGGCAGGCTCTTTTGTGGACGCGTTTGCCTCCCTGGCCTCACCAAGGGCGGAGACGTAGCCCATGTCGCCAGGAAGCCAGAACCCCAGTGAGAGGAGGGGACAGGACCGGGGGAAGAGGGAGAGCGCCACATAAAAATCCATTCCAGCTTTAAGCTCAAAATCCATCAAAACCCATGGCAAGCCCCTCTCACCTTTCACTAGGGCCACACTCTCCGCTCCGGCCCTCAGTCCGGGCCCCAGACGCGTGTTTCTGCACGTGAGGTCTGCAGATTACCAGGATCCAGCTCACCTGGGAGCTCATTTAAAACGCAGGTTCCCACTCCCCACCCCCATTAGTGTTGGAGGCCAGACCAGGCCCAGGGAATGGGACCCAGGAAAGCCCAAATTCTAGGGAGCAGCCAGAGGCCCTGACGCCCCCCCCCACCCCCGCGCCAGTGTCTCCACTGGGCCAGGGCTCGAGGCAGCAGGAAGCAGAGCATAAGGCCGGGAAGCCGGCACCAGCGAAAGTGAACTTGCCGGAGGGGGAACACCCATCAGAACGCCCACGCCCTTGACCCACTCTCTCAGGGGGCCAGCCGTGGACCTGAGCTCTTGTTGTCCCGCAGGGCTGCGAGATCAAGACGGACTACGCGCCCCTGCTGCACACGCTGGCGGAGTTCGGGTGGCTCCTGACCAGCGTGCTGCCGACACCTGTCCTGAGACATGACAGGTAACGCCCCGTCTCCTCGCACTCTCTCTCCTCATTCTAAATCAGAGTTCTGTGTCCGCTAACTCCGTTTGAGAAATCCCTATGCAATGCCTCCAGAAAGCATTCCCTGAACTTCTCGTCTCATTTCACGGGCCTTGGAGAGGAGCAGATCTAATCCCCTGGTGTCAGGTGTGTACCAGCGGCTCTGCCTCCTCCCGAGGGCACACGAGTTCAGGCCGGCTCGCCAGGGCGGCCAGGGCAGGGACCAGAGCCTGCCTCCCAGCCCCGCACAGCCTTGGCACCCCTTGGAAGGCCGCACTCCCTTTTCCCACGCAGGGTGCTGGTTGGCTCTTCCCCAGAGTGAACACTGAGTCGACATAAATCTGCAAACGGAGAAGCACAGCCCACGCTGTAGGGCCCCTGGTCCTGCCTTTCTGCTCTGCCCGTGCAAAGCTGCCCTCACCCAGCACACAGCTGGGGCTAGGACTGCAGAACCCTGGAGGCCAGCATGGAGGAGGAGGCGTTTCTGCCTCCATTCATCCCGCAGTGCGATGGGATAGTTTTCCCCTTGAGCATGGGCTTGTTAGCTGTTAGCACTGAAACAAGTGACTACGTTAGAATGTTAGAGCCAAAATGCCATCACTTCACTGATACCAACTTGTCCTTTTCTCCTTTTACAAATTTTCCCTATTTCCCGGGAAGGAAAAAATGAATTGTACTCTTTTTTTTTGAGAGCGAGAGAGAGAGAGAGAGACCTGTTAAGTCCTCTGTGTAACGTGCTTTCCTGTCCCTGAACTCGGAGACGTGCCCTCTGCCCTATTTGGCATCGAGAAAGTGACTGACGGCAGGGCTCTCCTGCTTGGCCAGTGGCTACCTGCAGGGGCCGCACTGCACCTGGGCCAGGCTGTCCTGAGCTGTAATCGGCTTGTGTGGCTGAGGGAGGCAACCCCCTCCCGCCTCCCCCAGCCTCCTGCGTCTCTGGTGTTCCCAGCTTAGCAGCGCACCCGCGTCCCAGGTCCCCCACCCTTGAAAGGCATTTGACTGACGTGGCTTTATAACACAGCCAGCCCTTCCTCGGGTGAGGAGAGGGATAGAGGCGGATACAGATGAGCCGGCTCAAGCTTTGAGAGGGGGGATTAGAAGTAATCAGAGCAATTCACCTGCTTTTCTTCTCAGAGATCCGTTGGTAACGTCTCAACTTGTGAGTGGCAGCTCCCCGGAGCATTATTTCCCATCTTTTCAAACGCTGTGACATGCCTGTCAGATCGCAGGACGGCAGTAATTCTCAGGATTCTGTCTCAAGCCCAGCAACCTGAGTCACTGGGGAGCACGCCCAGAGGGCCGTCGGGAGCTGGTTACGCTTACATCCCCCACATGACCAGGCCCTAGGTGACTTACGCTAGTCAGAGAAGGGCCAGGGCCATAGGATGCACTTCTCTGTGGCAACTGGTGAACAAAGCAAACTGGCCAAGTGGATACAGACTCGGGGAACAGAGAGCACACTGCCAGCTGTCCGAGGGGAGGGGTGGGGGCTGGGGGAGAAGAGTGAAGGGATTAAGCAAAGAAAAGGAAAAGACTCACGGACACAGACTACAGTACGGTGAATGCCAGAGGGAAGGGGTGGGGGCAGGTAGAGAGGTTGTAAAGGGGGGATAATGGTGGCGGAAGGGGACTCGACTTAGGATGATGAACACACAGTACAGTGCACATCTCATTAACCAATGTCACCCCAATAAGTTCAACAAGAAAATGAAAAGCGAAGAATCGATCAGTGGGTGAAAAGATTTCTATATGAAGGAGCTTGTAGCTGGTGCAGCCCACATTCCGTGCATAACCAGGGGCCTGCATTCGGCTTGGGCCAGCTCAGGGTTGCGTGTTGTGTGGTGTGATACAGTCCCTAGTCAAGGGCTATGGAGTACTTTGGTCTCTAAGTTCCACGGTCGTATTAAAAATAAGAGAGCGTAGAGGGGTGGGGGTTGCGGAGCAGGGTGAAAAAGGTAAGGGATTCAACAACAGAAAGTACGGAGACGGGTAACAGTGTGGCGGCAGAGGTGCGTGGGGCGGGCGAGGCGGAAGTAGTGAAGCGGGGATGAATGGGAAGGAGGGAGACTTGATTTTGGGTGCCGAGTGCTCGAGGCAGTGGGCAGATGATGTTTTATTGAACTGTACACTTGAATCTGTACGGTTTTATTCACCAAAGTCACCCCAATCAATTCAATAAGAAAACAAAATTAGTTTATAAAAAGTAAATAAGAGAGCGTACACAGACTATCACAGTTAGATGGAACCCTTGAGGAGTAATGAGGTTAAACGGCAGAGTCGCCCGTTGGCAGGGCCCCAGTCAGGAATCTGCTGTTGACCCGGATAGAAGGCGGCAGAAAAATGTATGTTAACAGCAGTCGCCCTTACGCAACGAGGCACACTACAGCCCCAGGGCCAACTGTGCTTCCAGGTGCCAGGAACATCTTGCAATGTCACCTACTTTGCTCCTTTGTGTTTAGTAAGTGGCTGCAAGGCGGACAATCTAGGATGAAGGTAAAGGTTCGCTGGGATCTGATCACCAAGACTGTGGGTGAAACCTGCTTATCCTCTGCCTTTTGGGTCCCGTCCAATGTGCTGTCCCGGTGCCTGTCACTGCTGGTCTTCGCTGCCGCGGTGCCCACACAGACAGCACTGACTGTTGGCCGTGTCATCTTCACAGAAAGAAAAATACTACGTGCAGTTCAACTCGGTCCAGGTGGGCGATAGAGCCTGGAAGAGTTTAGTCTCTGAAACTAGAAGAATGGTCCAGGCTTTGAGCTTAAGGAATCGCTTCTTTTTTGGTGCCTTGATTGGGGATCAAACCCACAACCTTGGCGTAAGGGGACGACTCTATCCAACTGATCCCTCGGGCCAGAACTAAACAAAACTCATTGTAATTACAGCATCACCAGGAATGAGCTCTAGGACACTCGTTCTTTTTCTTTTTTAAATATATATTATTGATTTCAGAGAGGAAGGGAGAGGGAGAGAGAAACATTAATAATGAGGAAGAATCATTGATCGGCTGCCTTCTGCACACCCCCTATTGGGGATTGAGCCCACAACCCGGGCATGTGCCCTTGACCAGAATCAAACCCGGGACCTTCAGTCCATAGGCTGACGTTCTACCCACTGAGCCAACCCGGCTAGGGCAGGACCTAATTCTTTAGCAGAACCAAAGTCCCTACGAAGTTGAAACCCTGGGCAAGGATGATAACCCAGCTTGTCCGAAATCATAATATTTCAGCCGACATCAATAGCATAGCTCACGTTATATGAAATCAGCACTGAGGCTTACAAGCCAGTAGAAGAAACAGCGGGAATTAAGGACACTGTGAAGACGTACACTTACACGCATGCTCACACCCACAAAGACCATACCTGTCGCCATCTTTCTTGGGAGCCCACCTGTCTGTGCAGACACCAGTGAAACGCTCTTCCTCAAAGATCTTTGTCTCAGATACATTCGTTGTCTTAAACCATGTCAGCTTTTCCCTTCTCTTCTATTACCTAAGCCAGTGGTTCTCACCCTTCTGGCCCTTTAAATACAGTGCCTCATGTTGTGACCCAACCATAAAATTACTTTTGTTGCTACTTCATAACTGTCATGTTGCTACTGTGATGAATCGTCATGTAAATATCTGATATGCAGGATGGTCTTAGGCGACCCCTGTGAAAGGGTCGTTCGACCGCCAAAGGGGTCGCAAAATCTAAGCCCTACCTGAATGGTCTATTCATAAGGTGTTTTCTCCTTCTTTCTTTAATTACTCAAACATACCCCGTTATCAGATTGCAAGAAGGCACTTTCTCAGCGGGTTTCCAGGTGAAGGTTGTTACTTCTTTATCCTCAGCAATTATCACACCACCAACGGTCAAAGCTGGTTACCATGGAAACCTCAGCGTGGTCATCTGATATCACTACATCGTTCCAAGATGATTGTTGTCTGCCCAGAGAACTTACCAGAATCCCTTCTTAATCGTTATCGCTATGCAGTTATACAAATGGGCCCGAACGTGCTGTCAGTTAGTGATGCCCTAGGCACACGGAGGTGGCAAGTGGAAGTATGAACACCATGGACCCTTCCTCCCTCGGGCTACCTTAAGCAAAAAAAAAAAAACGAGGTGAAAATTGACGATCTCTTTAGGGCAAATCTGGTAGAGGATCAAATTAGCCAAACGAGGAGCTAATATTGCTGATCTTCACATAATCCCAGGAGTACAGTGGAAGTTGAGCCAGACTTCCGTCTGTGTGGCTACCTCAACCGACAGTTGCTTCCCTCACCCCAAGTACTAGTGGGGGAGGGGCAGGGTGGTGCAATTAAACAAGAATCCAAGGTAATTAGAATGCACTTTCATAAGCACTGAATTATAACCTTACAGTAAGAGAGAAAGAGAGCCCGGCCAGCGGGGCTCAGTGGTTGAGCGTCGACCTATGAACCAGGAGGTCACGGTCAGGGCACGTGCCTGGGTTGTGGGCTCGGTCCCCAGTGTGGGGCATGCAGGAGGCAGCCGATCAATGATTCTCTCTCATCATTGACGTTTCTGTCTCTCTCTTCCTCTCTGAAATCAATTAAAATTTTTTTTCCTAAAAAGAATGTTAGAATCAAGTGATACTGAGAATATAAAATTCTGCTCCTTAAGAACAAGGGATAAACAACAAAAGAGAAATTGTCCTTGCACTGTGACGCAGACCCCGCTCCCCTATAAGAAAGGCTCACGGCCTCATGACCCCCAGCCAGAAGCAGCGAAGGGCCTGGTGTGTCTGAGACCCTCTCCTCACCCTGAGCACCAGCCCTCTCACCCACCCCTCCTCCCGCTCCGACTGAAGCTCTGTGCAGTGTTGTGCAATCAGCGTTACCTTGCAGTGAGCAGCATTCTGATAAGGCTGAGTTTTCTAAAATAGCCCCTTTGTCTACTCCATGTACTTGCAGGAATCACTCTTCCGCATCTGAACTTAAATTTGCACGTTGTCCCGGGGGAAGGGCTGGGAGGAGCTGAACGGTGGTGGTGCCCTTGTGGCTTTCCCACACACACACCGATACCCAAGAAACGGTAGGGTCACAGGGCACAGGACTTCCTGGCCACACACCCGCCAACTACAAAGGGGCAAGCTAAAATTTAACTTCATGCTTCTGCTTTTAACAAGTCAATTTTGATTTCATATCTCATTTCCAAGCGGCAATCATTAAACCACGGCAATTCACGAGTGTACACGGTGACGCAAAACTAATCAGAAACCGCGACCCGCCACTCCCTCTGGTCTGACGGATGCTGAAGCCGTGCGGACAGCTTCCTGTGAGAGCGGTTTTCTGTCCCACGTGGCTGAGCAGCTGCCAACAAGCCACTGTCAGAAACCAGCTCACTTACATTCAGCCTGATTCTCACTCTTGCATCTTATTGAAACAGCATGGCTTTTCGCTTCAACTAAATGTTTACTGAGTGCCTGGTGTGCACAGGCAATATATTACCCGCTCTAGGGACAGACTCCAGCTCCCGGAGACTCATCTGCTTGGAGAGAAAACAGTCACAAATAACTCATGCAGAACAGACCATGGGTCCTGCCAGGGGGCCCACACAACAGGGGACTGGGCCCCGAGGGTGAGAATCAGCTACGGTGGGGCAAGAGCACCTTAGACATTATAGTGACTTGTGTTCCTTCAAAAGGTCACAATGCACAACAGATACGCAGCACATCTCAGGTGTGCACATCTGAGGGGGAGGGAAGGGGGGGAGGGGGCCTGAAAAGGCTCCCAGCGGAAGCAGAGCTGAGTGTGAGGCAGGGAACATGGTGAAGGATGTGGGTGAGGAGGGGAGCAGGTGTGTGAAGGCCGTGGTGCCTTATCATAAGAGAACAGAGCTTCCAGAGAAGGTTTAGAGAGCATGTTCCTGGCGGCGGGCGGGGCTGGCGGGCAGCGTGGCCTCCCTCCCGCGGCTGGGCTGGTCCCACAGTGGCCCCTGGACTCCGAAAGGAAGGCCCTGAGCCCGCAGCAGGCTCAGAGGCCAGAACGTGCTGTCAGTTAGTGATGCCCTAGGCACACGGAGGTGGCAAGTGGAAGTATGAACACCACGGACCCTTCCTCCCTCGGGCCACCTTAAGCAACACGCAGCCAGGAGAGCGCGGGCAGGGGCAGTGAGCACAGCCCTGGCCGGGTCCTCCGTGGGCCTAGCATCGTCCCGAACGCCAATGCCAAGGCTGTGGTTCTGATCCCCGTCAGGGCACATACAAGAGTAGACCCATGAGTGCATAAATGAGCGGGACAACAGGTCCGCCTCCCCCCATCCCACCTTCCTCTCTCTCTCTCTCGAAGCAATAAGAAGGAATTTAAAAGGAAGTACAAGTAAATGAATTCTTAAAGACCTCTCCTAACTTAAAACCCCAAAATTCAAGACTGGATGTGTGTGTGTGTGTGTGTGAGAGAGAGAGAGAAAAATAACCTCACTCCTTGGGTGAGGCTTTTAAAGAAGAAGAAGGAGGAGGAGAAGGAGGCGGAAGAAGGAGAAGGAGAAGGACAAGGGGAAGAGGAAGGAGGAGAAGGAGGAGGAGGAGGAGGAGGAGGAAGGAGAAGGAGGAGGAGGAAAGAGGAAGGAGGAGGAGGAAGAGGAGGAGGAGGAGGAGGAGGAGGAAGGAGAAGGAGGAGGAGGAAGAGGAAGAGGAGGAAGAGGAGGAGGAGGAGGAGGAGGAGGAGGAAGGAGAAGGAGGAGAAGGAGGAAGGAGGAAGGAGGAGGAGGAGGAGGAGGACTCCCAAGACCACTTTGGCGGAAGATTTGCTTGTTTCTCAAAATTCAACAGTACCGCTAAGCGTGGGGCACTCAATGGGGTGGGCCCAGAGTTTCAATGTTGCATTTGTTTTCCAAAAAAAAGAGCTCGTAGTGAGGTTTTGGTTTTGGTTTTGTTTTTTTGCATCATAAAAGTCGTAACTGAGCAACATTAGCTGCAGACTCCTTGCCCTAAACCCATGGAGACTCTGAAAACCCTTCAGAGAAACCCAAACCCACGTAGGCCTTGGCAAAGGGCACTTCACACGAGGGCAGTGGACTAAGGAGAATACTGAGTAGCTGTCCACAAAGGAGCATCTGGAAAGAAAACTGGCTCCGGCCCCAGCCCCTCGACTGAAAATCTACGTACAGTTCCCCGCGCGCGGCCCGCATTCGCCGCCTCGTCTGAAAAGGCAGCTTTGACGATGCAAACAAACATTTTAATTAAACATTCGTGACCCGACAACCCCGCTTCTGAGAATGTACTTCAAGATTCCATGAGTCATAAGACGAGGATGAGACATATTTCTACGCAGCATTGTTTATAATTAGCAGAAAACTGGAAACAACCTAATTTTTCAATAATACAGAAAGATAGTACATTTCGGCCCTGACCAGTTTGGCTCAGTGGATAGAGCGTCGGCCTGCGGACTGAAAGGTCCCGGGTTCGATTCCGGTCAAGGGCATGTACCTAGGTTGCAGGCACATCCCCAGTGGGGGATGTGCAGGAGGCAGCTGATCGATGTTTCTCTCTCATCGATGTTTCTAACTCTCTATCCCTCTCCCTTCCTCTCTGTAAAAGATAAATAAATATATATTTTAAAAAAATTTTTTTAAAAAAGATAGTACATTTCGGTATCTTAAGTCTTTGTAGACACTGTGCAGCGACTAAGAATCTGATCACAGTGCGCAAACAACGAAAGGGTGTTACGGGAAGAGCATAGGAAATGTAAATATGTGACGGTTACAGACACATGGAAGCACATATGTGATAAGGACTAGAAGGGGACATGGAGATGAAAATAGTGATGTTAGCATGTGAGGTTACAAGTTTTCAACATTCACATTTCCTTTTGTAATGACCACATTCAGTTTTGTTTTTTTAATCCTCACCCCAGGATATTTTCCCATTGATTTTTAGAGAGAGAGGAAGGGAGAGGATAGAGAGAGAAACATGGATGAGAGAGAAACACCATCCATCGGCTGCCTCCTGCACATCCCCTCCTGGGGATCAAGCCCACAACCCAGGCGTGTGCCCTGACCAGGAATCGAACCGGCGACCTCTTGAGCAACTTGTTTCCTAAACTCATCTTCCAGGAATTGCTTTTTATACCTCTGTGATTAACCAAATAAATGTTCTCTTACAGTTAAAAAAAAAAAAAAAAAAGAATTACTAATCCACAAGGACTAACGCTGTTGTTCTAATTTGCAGCGAAGGGAATTTGGCTACAAAGCAGGTGGTGTTTCTTCAGAGACCCGCTCTGTGGAATTCAGCGGCTCAGACCCCGGAAGTGAGTAATATGGTGCCCTGTGGGCTGGATGTGACGCTGGAGCATTTAACCCTGACACCCATTTAATGCCAGATGGGGAGCACAGGTGGGAGGTGTGGTGTGGATATGGAATAGTCTGCTCACCTGAGGCATGCGAGTGCAGGCTGCCCGCCCGAGCCGGTTCCCAGGGTCTGGGATGGCCACTCAGAACGGGCCACTGTGGCACAAGGGTCACTTTGAGCTGAAGGCGATCAGGCGGCAGCAGACGGAGGAGGAACCGCTACCCCCTCCTTTCTGACAAGGAGCAGGTGTCCCTGTGTGGGGGCGGCTCCCTCTCCTGCACCAGGACCAGGAGAAGACCATGGCCAGAGGTGACCCATCCCTGGGGACCCACGGATGAGTCTGCATAACAAGCTCCCTCCATAGCCCTCTCCTCCACGCCGTGTCTTAGAGATGTTTCCAAGACAGTAATAGGCCTACACATGCGCCCTGGCTGGGTGCTCAGTGGATAGAGCTGCGGACTGAAGGGTCCCGGGTTCAATTCCCGTCAAGGGCACATGCCCAGATTGTGGGCTCCATCCCCAGTAGGAGGCATGCAGGAGGCAGCCGATCAATGATTCTCTCTCATCATTGATGTTTCTCTCTCCCTCTCCCTTCCTCTCTGAAATCAATAATAAATATATATATATATTAAAAGCAGATAAAACAAGAAATATTGTGCTCAGTGGAAAGGTGAGCTGCACACACCCGTGTGCAAATGCAAATACATAGCTATTTAGAGAAGAAAACAGTAAAACCCACCACATTTAACAGTGGTTTCTCTGCAAGATGGGGTTGTGGGTGGGTTTTGCCAGGCTTTCCACGCTGCACGTGTATTCGGTAAAATACCTGGAAATGTTCCTTTGGGAACACACAGGTTACCTCGCCTCGTATTGTGGGTTGGTGTGGGTGAGATGAGTGTGGAGAGAATACGGTGAAACGCTGGGACTCCAGCTCCAGGCCAGCCTTTCCCTGCCCGTGGACAAGCCCCGCCTGCTTTCTGGGCCAGGTCCATCCTCTGTCGAGTGAGGGGTTCGAGGAGGTGCTCTCCCAGGCCAGCCGGGCTGCAGACTCCTGCACGCTCAGTCCTCAGACCCTGCGGTTGGATTGCTTGGAAAAGCTGTTATTTCACATGGAGTGTGTGTGTGTGGGCGGGGGGGGGGCGGGGGGGTGGGGGGAGAACTGTCACTGCTGAAGATGTACTTGCTAAGAGTCCCGGGGTAAAAAGGGGAAGTGTTCTAAATCATTTGTCGAGTCCCATGGGAGGCACTTGTCGCCTTCTAACACTTGGCATTCACATGTGGTGGCCGTTTACTTAACACTCACCTAAAAGTGAATGCTATGAATGTCGCATGGCCCTGAATAGTACCCGGTTTCACTAAGGAAGTTCGCATTGGTGTGTGAGAGCTGGCCTCTGTGGCGGGGACACAATCGGGAGCTTATTGCAGAAGTTGCCGCTGGCTCAGTGCTGAGGAGGCAGGAAAGGATCACCGCCAAGTGCCAAGTGCCCCGGCCCTCGCCCTCCATTTGCATTCATTCCGCGTTGGGAGGGCGTTCCAGAGTGAATGGGGCTTTGTGCACGTGGGAAAGGGCGCCGCAGCCAGGCCTGAGAAAGGAGGCCCGTCTGGCAGGGCCCGTCGCGCTGCCTGCAGCCTAAAGGCTGGCTCCTCGCCGGCCAGCAGGAGGCCCAGCGCCAGGAGAACAGGCCATTCTCAAACCCTGTGCCCCGTAAGAGGAAATCTGCCAGCTCCGCTCCGTGCATTAAACTCAATGCATTTGGTGAATGAGAAGAAAAAGGAAGAGGGTTTGCAATCTACTGTTTGATTGGATGAATTTGAGGGGGCGCTGGGGCATGTCCGCACCTCCCAACTGCGTCTGATTCGGATGCGAAGCTGGGCCTTTCTTTGGGGAATCGGGCCTGCTGTGGGCTTGTTCCCGTGAACTAGCCCGAGGGCTCATCTTCCTGCCCAAACCATCCCCTAGACAGCCATTACATTCCCCAGGAGCCCACAAAGTCCGCTTTAATAAAGCTGTTTGCTTTATGTATTTGCCTTGAAAATCAGTAGAAAATATTTGTGTAGTTCATACACTACGGTTCAACACACCTATGGGTTAGCCAACTTTTGCAAGACTAGCCTAGGCATCTGACTTCCGGGGTTTTTTTTCCCCTAAGAATTTTATAATTTTAGCTCTTACATTTAAGAAAATGTAATCCTAGTTCTCAAATAACATATAAATGAACTTTCAGCAAATAACTTCTCTGTGAACTGGGAGATTACTGTGCTTTTTAAATGCGTCCCTTTTCCCTGGCGAGTGTGGGCTCAGGTGGTGGGAGCGTCTTTCCGGTCCTGGATTGATCCTGGTCAGGGCACATACGGGAGGCAACTGATCGGTGTTTCTCTCTCACATCAATGTTTCTCTCGCGCGCCCTCTCCCTTCCTCTCTCTCTACAAAAGTAAATAAATAAATATTTTTATTTTTTATTTTTTTAAATATATTTAAAATATTTTTAATGATTTTATTGATTTTTTTACAGAGAGGAAGGAGAGAGATAGAGAGTTAGAAACATCGATGAGAGAGACACATCGATCAGCTGCCTCCTGCACACCCCCCCCGGGGATGTGCCCGCAACCAAGGTACATGCCCTTGACCAGAATCGAACCTGGGACCCTTCAGTCCGCAGGCCGACGCTCTATCCACTGAGCCAAACTGGTTAGGGCTAAATAAATATTTTTAAAATGTATCCCTTTTAGTTTTCTTTTTATTTTAAATATTTTTATTGATTTCAGAGAGGAAGGGAGAGGGAGAGAGAGATAGAAACATCAATAATGAGAGAGAACATTGATCAGCTGCCTCCTGCATGCCCCCTACTGGGGATCGAGTCCACAACCCAGGCATGTGCCCTGACCGGGAATCGAACCAAGACCTCCTGGTTCATAGGTCAGCGCTCAACCACTGAGCCACCCTGGCTGGGCATCTCGAACACTTCCTATTGTTAGATCCCAACCAACACCAAGAAGAAAAATGGAGAAAAACTAAGATGGCGGCATAGATAAACACCGGGAAATTGCTGCTTCCCACAACAATCGATAAATGCATCAAAAACACAAGGTGGACACCATCCAGAACTACAGGAGGGCTGGCTGAGTGTAAATTCTACAACTAGAAGGAAAGAAAAGCACACTGCGAGCGGGAGGAGCTGCGGAGGTGGAGTGCAGAGGTACGGGGGCTCGCGCGCGGAAAGGGTCTGGCACCTGAGGACGCGGCTGTCTTTTTTAATCCGGAGGGAGACACAAGCTCCCCACGGCTCTGAAATCCGGTTCCGGGAAGTCTCTGGGAACCCAGGGCTCATACGGGGAGATACTGGACTGTCTGGCAGCGGGCGAGCTTGAGAGCGGCTTTCCCTCAGAGGTGCTTGCAGCCATTGCCGGGACACTGGGACTCACGACTCCTTAGGGCAGGGCTGAGGCTCCGCCATAGCTGCTTTCTCCGCCCTTTGATTCCTTGAGACCCCGCCCCGCCCAGGCTGTGGCAGAGGCTTTTGCATATGAATGCCCCGGCCATTTGCAACCTGTAATTACCTAACCGCAGCCGGGCCAGATAGACCCAGAGCTTCCAAGAGAAGGCCCAAGGCCCCACAGCGGCTTGCATTGCTACACAGCTGAGCATCATCAGGGCACTTCCAAACTCCAAAAAAAAGGAAGGGGAATCTGCAGTTCTCTTCGTAGTTCCTGCTGTGTAACCTCAGGCAGAGGCTAAATTAGCACCTCCTTAGATCCAAGAGCCACTGTACCCAGTGGTTAGAGGGGAACCATCCAGATCACAACTCCTCAGATCCATAAGGGACACACTCAGGGTGCAGTCTCAGTGAGCACCAAAGCCCCACTGAAGCAAGTCTTGCCCCAGAAGGGTGTCTCCAGCACAGAAGTTCTCCCACTGCAGACACAGCTGATTCTCGCTGCCAATTGCCCTGGAGGTCAATTCCTCCCAGTGATCCTACAACAACCAAGGCATAGCTACAACAAGACTGTGCACAAAGCCCACAAGGGGGTGCACCAAGAGTGTCCACCTCAGGTAACTGGGGAGGCTGAGCCACTGGGCCCTACAGGACACCTAGCACACAAAGCCACTCTATCAACACAGGGAAGCAGCCAAAATGCGGAGACAAAGAAACAGGTCACAAATGGCAGAAATGGAGGAAAGCAAACGACTGGATATAGAGTTCAAGGCCACGTTTATAAGGTTTTTCAAGAATTTTATGGAAACCGCCGATAAATTTAATGAGTCCCTCAATAAGTATAGTGAGACCATGGAGGACATGAAAAAGGACCAACTAGAAATTAAGCATACACTGACTGAAATAAAGAATAATCTACGGAGATCCAACAGCAGACAAGAGGATCCCAAAAATCAAGTCAAAGATTTGAAATACAAAGACACAAAAAATACCCACCCGAAAAAGAAAAAAGAAAAGAGATTCCAAAAATATGAAGATAGTGTAAGGAGCCTCTGGGACAACTTCAAGTGTACCAACATCAGAATTATAGGGCTACCAGAAGAAGAGAGAGGGCAAGATATTGAAAACCTATTTGAAGAAATAATGACAGAAAACTTCCCCTACCTGGTGAAAGAAATAGACTTCCAAGTCCAGGAAGCACAGAGAACCCCAAACAAAAGGAATCCAAAGAGGACCACACCAAGACACATCATAATTAAAATGCCAAGAGCAAAAGACAAAGAGAGAATCTTAAAAGCAGCAAGAGAAAGATAGTCAGTTACCTACAAGGGAGTACCCATACGACTGTCAGCTGATTTCTCAACAGAAACCATGCAGGCCAGAAGGGAGTGGCAAGAAATATTCAAAGTGATGAATAGCATGAACCTGCAACCAAGATTACTTTATCCAGCAAAGCTATCATTCAGAATAGAAGGTCAGAGAAAGAGCTTCACGGATAAGAAAAAGCTAAAGGAGTTCATCACCACCAAACCAGCATTATATGAAATGCTGAAAGGTATTCTTTAAGAAGAGGAAGAAGAAAAAGGAACTCTTACCATTTGCCACAGCATGGATGGAACTGGAGAGCGGATAAATACCACATGATCTCACTCATTTGTGGAATATAATGAACAACATAAACTGATGAACAAGGACTGATCCAGAGACGGAGAGGCATTGATTGGACTGTCGGGCTTTGGAGGGAGGGTAGGGGAGGGTGAGGGTATGGGGGAAAGATCAACCAAAGGACTTACATGCAGGCATATAGGCTTAACCAATGGACACGGACAACGGGGGGGGGGGGGGGGGTGTGAGGGCATGAGCGGGGGGGGGGGGGGTAGAGGGTAACGTGGGGACAAGGACACATATGTAATATCTTAATCAATAAAAATATATTTAAAAAAAAGAAGAAGAAAAATGGAACCCTTCATGTATCCCTGCCCTTCTTTGCTCCCCCAGGGGTGATCTCAACAGGCTTCTCTCTTCTGAAGTGTCGTTAGGGGCCCAGACATGTCGACAACCCACGTGCCAGTGATGAGAATAATGTGCCAGGAAGCTCCCAGGGTGTGAAACAGAGAGCGGGGATGGGGCTGGAGGGAACGCGAAGGGCCGAGCTGGTCCTGAGACGAGCAGGGCCTTGACGAGCAGCAGGGAAAGGACGTTTGGGCGGAGGGCCGCGGGCGCGAGGTCGGAGGGCCAGGGAGCACCATCTTCCTAACTCCTGGCCTCCCGTCTCTGTTCCAGAGGAAGGCCGGCCGGCACGTAAAAGGTGAAGACAGGCACAGAGTCGGCAGCCGGAGCATCGGCCTGGACACGGCCACGTCCCCGCCCAGCGAGCACCGCGCCCCGCCCGAGGGCACCCCGCCTCCTGCCAGAGAGCCCTGGACGCAGGGGCCCGCGCTCTCGGGGCTGGGCGTCCTGCGGGACCTGGACGACGGGCAGCTGGACCAGGAGGACGGGGTCACGCAGGTCACGTGCATGTGACAGGGAGCCCAGCCCAGGGCCCTGCCCACGGTCATTCCCACCGCGGCCGTGGCTTTCCTGTGCGACTCTGTCGGCGTGTATTAACGCCTTGGATTTTTCCAGGCTCAGGCTCCTCCTCATCCGCGTACTCTTGGGCTCAGCCTCCCAGGCCAGGGAGGGGAATCAGCGTGTTCGTACATCGAGGCACGTTCACACGCCTCTCAGATAAACGCCTCTGTTTGAACAGATGCCGCCTTAGGTTGCTAACCGAGACCCTGCGTCATTTTCTCACGAATGCACCTGGTACCAGGGCGACTTCTCCATCCTCCCGGCAAGAAGACCGAAGGTCTCAGCCGGCACGGTGCCCCCTGGACGGGTCTCAGGAAGTGAGAGTCCTAATGACCCTGAACAGTGCCCCTCCCACACGCAGGCACACACACAGGGCTAAGGAACGGAACGCCTCCTTCCTGGACCTAACAATGGATCCAGCCATGCTGTGTATATACAGGGCAAACCCTCACCGGTTAGAATGTCTTTTGAAAAAAGTCCTTTTTGTTGTCGTTGCTTTCAAAGGGTCGCCATCTTCCTGCCCTGTGCTAACCCACTGAGCTTCACTATAGTCTACAGTGAGAGAGAGAGAGAGAGAGAGAGAGAGAGAGAGGCGCATCCCTCACCACTCACCGTGGAAAGAGCCCAATCTCAGCCTTTAAAAACCTTAGTTGACAGGAAGAATTGACTTATTTCCTTTACATTGTAAATAGTATGAAAAGGGGAGACATCAATTTGAGTGGAAACTGAAGCCTTCACGCCTGCCGAGCTGTGAATTGCACTTTTACTTCGACGGCTGCATCAGGAAGCGCCTGGGACCCCAGAGCCTGGCGCCCAGAGCACGGGGATGGGTCTGGACGGGGATGGGTCTGGTGGCCCCGCGGGTCCCTCTCTGCCCTCCGTGCTCTGCAAGGGGGGGGGTGCGGGAGGTGGGGGCCTGTGCCTCGCCCCGACTTCAGCAGGTAAAGATGGAAAGTCTACAGAACAGAGGCTCTGCATTTCTCCATGAAAGGCTGGCTTTGAAATGTGGGCACCTTCAAGGGAAGGACAGCTGGCTTTGCCATTGATGAACTCAGCATATTCTATATTTTTATTAGCAGTGGTGCTGACATTAGAAGATCACTTGAATAATAAAATGTCATTTGTTATTGGGCTATCATTTTATTGACTGCAAGTGTTTACCGTGTGTTTATATTTCTGTATTATGTGTTATCACGCACCTACTGTGACTAACCAGGCCCTTCTCCATGAACTGCAGATAGGATTGGCACGGTGTTAGTCCAATCGTACCATATGCTGAAGCCTCACCTTTGTAGGTATAAAGGCACTTAAGAATATTCCGCTCAGAATTATTCTGTGGAAATAGCTATCAACAATCTTTGCAGAAATATTTTTGTTCGGGTTTTCGATGAACCTAAGCTCCATATTCAAGAGTTGAATTTTTGGTAAAGACAAGCATGCCTTCTGCAGCCCATGACATGCCGTGAGCTGGTTATGAGACCCAGAAAAGGGACTCAGAACCATCAGATAGCTCTTCCCAGGGCCAGGTGCCCTGAGGCAGACTCCTGTGTCACACTGCTCGCACAGAGGGGATTCGCAGCATCAAGAGCAGGGCTAGACATTTATCCTTGACTAAAGGAAAACTGATACATCAATCACTTTTCATTTTATTAGATTTGTGTAAGTTTACTTTCTTTGTACAGTTTGCTTTTAATCTGTTATTTCTTCTTATTAAAAAACATTTTGCCCTAGCTGGTTTGGCTCAGTGGATAGAGCCACTGGCCTGAGGACTAAAGGGTCCCGGATTTGATTCCAGTCAAGGACATATGCCCGGGTTTCGGTTCCATCCCCAGTAGGGGGCATGCAGGAGGCAGCTGATCGATGATTCTCATCATTGATGTTTCTATCTCTCCCTCTCCCTTCCTCTCTGAAATCAATAAAAATATATTAAAGTAAATAAATAAATAAGGTTTTATTAGAATAAACTTAGCAGTCATATCCTCAAACTCTATTTCATAAGCATTTATTCCAACAATTACCCTTAAGTAACATGGCACATTTGTATTATAGCGAATAATGACCAAGTGGTTCTAGAGTACATATAGCTTTAGTCTATTCTTTTGAGAAAAGGTAACAAAACTTGGACTCTGTATGCCTAAGGAGTTGAATGTGACTCACCTTATCATTATCTGAATGTTTAATACCTGTAAGTTAGGGTGAGCAAGACTCAGATCCTAGATGTGGGGGGAGGGGGGTGGGGGCAGGGGGCGGTGAAGTTCAGCCGTTTCCCTGGTACAGCAGCTGTGGCACTGCTGTCTTAGGGTTCAGAAACTCCTTCCTAGTTCTATCCCATTTGGGTCTAATGTCACCCTGTTCTCCCTCATGCACATTAACACCTAATCACGGGGACTCACCCCTGAGCTAAGGACAGGCTCCGTCATGTCACTGCAGTTCTCTGCATGACAGAGAAACAAAAAGGTCGCTCTTTGTGAGGCCCCAGGGCTTTCAGGGGTCCTCAGACACCCACACAAGCAGGAGGCGAGCTGTAGTCAATCCGAATCACAACAGTCTCCAAATGGTTGGTTTTCTCCCATGTCTTCTCACTATAACTTCACCTGGTGGGCGGCAAGGGAGCCCTCAGGAGCTCTTTATATGGACATGACTCCCATTCATGGGGCCTCCACCCTCGTGACCTAAAAACCCGCCAAAGGCCCCACCTCCTGGACACCATCGTACTGAGGATCAGCATGTCGACACAGGCATTTCTGAGGGACACATTTCATATACAGCAACTGTCAGGCGCCTGGGGAACTTTCTGGGGTGATAGAAATCTCCTATATCTTTATTTGGTTGAAAATAACACAAGTGTATACAATTGTCAAAACTCACTGAACTGTACACTTACGATAGGGACATTTTACTATGTGTACACTGTATTTTATATATATACTAGAGGCCCAGTGCACAAAATTTGTGCACTTGGGGGGTCCCTCAGCCCGGCCTGCACCCTCTTGCAGTCCGGGAGCCCTCAGGGAATGTCCAACTAACAGCAGGCCTAAGCCATCAGTCAGACATTATCCTAAGCGCTGCTGCAGAGGCGGGAGAGGCTCCCGCCACCACCGCTGTGCTCGCCAGTCGTCAGCCCAGCTTATGGCTGAGCAACACTCCCCCTGTGGGAATGCACTGACCACCAGAGGACAGCTCCTGCATTGAGCATCCGCCCCCTGGTGGTCAGTGCTCGCCATAGCGACTGCTTGTTCTGCTGTTTGATCAATTTGCATATTAGCCCTTCATTATATAAAATATCTATCTATATAGATGATATAGATATAGATATAGATATAGATATAGATATAGATTTTAGAGAGAGAGGGAGGGAGAGCGAGAGGGAGAGGGAGAGGGAGAGGAGAGGGAGAGGAACATCCATGTGAGAGCAAAACCTCAATCAACTGCCTCCTGCAAGCCCCCTATGCCCTGACCAGAATCAAACCAGCAACCTTTTGGTGCATGGGCCAACATCCAATCAGCCGAGCCACACCAGCCAGGGCTAAACTGTACTCTAATAGAAGAAATATTTATTGGAGAATTCAGAGAATTGGTGAGAGGACCAAGCTCAATGCTAAGCTGACAGGAACAAGGCGCAAACCTACACAAGAGAACAAGCCCGCTGTGGCCAGTCCCAGCCCGCTGCCGGGAGCCCCCTTTCCAGGTCACAGCAGCGACTTTTTGCAGGACCTTGCACCCTCCACGACCCAAATGTTCCTGCTGCCACCTTTTCAGCAAAACGGGCGCCTTCACTCAGCCTCCTCCCGCTCACGACTTACGTGTGACTCGGCCTCCCGTGGGCGAAGCGAGCTCGCGCTCCGGCTGGGGCAGATGGGGCCCCGGTGCTGCCGCTTCGGGAGAGCATGGGGTCCCGCAGGCAGACTGGCTGGGCTCGAGCTGCCCCCAGCAGAGCACACGTGCCCCTTTATGCCGCACGGCAGACCCTGATTGGGCCTTAACCAGTGAGCAGAGCGAACATCACCAGTCACGGAGAAAGCCCGCATCGGTGGCTGCTGGGATGGCATGCCTGGGCAGCTTCCCCTCCCACCAGCTCAGCTGAGGATCCTGCTTCTTCCACCCGGCGCTCTTAGAGCGGGGAAAAGGCACGAAAGGGCATGACAAATGCTATCAGGTGTCGTAGGAAACCCTACAGTTTTCAGATGGCAGGAGGCTGAAGCCACTGAGGGGCAAATGCAGGCCTCAGGCCAGGGGCTTTCACACACGCTGCTTCGTCCTCACAAAACTCACCGAGGCCTGGGGCTGTCCCCGCGCACAGGCGGGAAACAGGCGGGAAACAGCCGGAATGTTTCCTTCCGATGGTGCACAGCTTCCACGTGGGGAAACCAGGCCAGACCTCGGCTTGGTTCCAAGCTCACTGCTCACCGAGAAGAGACTGGATCCTCCCCGTCAGAATAGTGTCTCTCCTCTCCAACGCCTCCTCTGCCCTCTCTGCTCCCAGCGCTCACGCTACAGCGGGATCCGGTGGGCAGCAGAGCCCTGACTCACCTGCCAGGTCTCCTCGCTGCTACCACCGTCTGCAGATCAACGTTCACAGAAGCCTGACCTCAGGGACCCTCCCAGCTCCCTCAGGCCGTCAGGCCACAGCGAGACTGCGGGAGCGCAAGACTCACCGCAACAGCGAGTCAATAGTGTGACTGATGAGGAAGAAACGCGAGGACAAGGTGACTGGTCACTCCCTAGCAGGGAAAGGAAAGGAACGAAGGGTAGGCCACATGTAGGACATTAAAAGAAATAGCCCCAGGAGATCCCCAGCTGGGAACGGTCGGAGGTGCACCCATCTCTGCCAGCTGTGTGATCTTGAGCAAGTTGCTTAACCTGAGATTCACTTCACCTGTCAAACGGGGATGGGACCGGTGCTGACTGCACGGGCCCCACTGAGGGGGGCACGCACACAGCGCCTGCCACGCCTTCTTGTTCTCCTACAGAGAAGCTTCACGGGAAACTTATGAGTCCAGTAACATGAGAGCAACTTACGTCCCTTCACCCAGTCACTTCCCTGAAAACCATGAACTCAACTGCTACGAAAAAAACGTTTCAAAGGGAAGCACTAAGGCAGCGGTTCTCAGCCTGTGGGTCGCGACCCCTTTGGCGGTCGAACGACCCTTTCACAGGGGTCGCCTAGGGCCATCCTGCATATCAGATATTTACATCACGATTCATCACAGTAGCAACATGACAGTTATGAAGTAGCAATGAAAATAATTTTATGGTTGGGTCACCACATGAGGAACGGTATTTTAAGGGCCAGAAGGTTGAGAACCACTGCACTACGGCCTGGAAGGTCCATGAAGCGAACCAGTAAGACATGAAAATCAAGTTATTCTGATTTTCTCATCAAAAACGCAATCAGTAAACAAACAGCGAGGGGAATCAGAAAACGTGCCTGGGTGGAAGGAAGCTTGAACCGACCACACATTTCTACCAGGTGCCGGACTTGGTGCTGCCGAGCCAGGAGGAGTCCTGGCCCCAGGCGTGAGCTGGCCAAGAGCCACCCAAATGGACAGCTGGGAAACCTGGAGTCTAATGTGAGAATTTCTTTTGTTGGTTATGAAAAAAACCAAAACTAAATACATTTAATCTTCTTTGTGCCTTCATGGGCACACAAATCCTCAGAGACAGCGTTGTTCTCAGCACATGAATGGCCACTGTCACAGATGTGCTAAGTAAAATGACTTTAATTTCTTACAGCAAGAGAATAGCGTGTCTTTAATTGCAGTGACTTAAATAAAACTGAAAGACCAGATTTGGATATTTTACTTACATTTCCTTCTTCTTTCCCAGACTAGAGGCATGTAGTTTAATGTTTATGCCACACATACAAAAAGTGGGTTTTAACATTCCAGTTGTTTTTCTGTGAACATTTGATCCTTAACCACGTCATTCTTTTAAATTTGTTCTTCTGGGAAACCATGTGTCTCAAGATTTTTCTCCTTTTGCAACCCCTTCCAAAGTACCTCAGAATTCCATTTTTCAAAACTTCCAGCTTCTCGGACAGTTGCAGGCTGACATCTTATGTTTCTCCCTTCCTACCTCGTCATGTAAGGAGAATTACCCCAACCCAAGTTAAAATGAATGCAATTCA